CATACGTTTGGCCAGCTGAAAAGTCACCTTGGTCAGCTTTGGAACTTGAGGTTATGCTGCTGCGAAGCATTGCGGCTCTAGCTTCCGGGTGACAGATTCGGCAATGCAGGCCATGCCCATTACGCCCTTTGATGCGTTTTGGAGCCTCCGCTCAGAGGAGCTCCTGCGGCCTGGTGGCGAGCGGGCTCACCCATGAAGTGGCCGTTCTGTGCGTAGGGATTGAATATTTCTGGTTGGTGAAGGATAAGTCATTTGCCATCAGCCGGATATCGAGTCGCCGAGGCAAGAGTGGCTGCCGCTGCGCGCGTCCGCCACGTGGCCTGCGCCGCCTGCGCCGCCTGCGCCGCCAGCGCCACCAGCGCCACCTGCCGCGCCAGCGGCCGCATCTTCCGCGCCGCGCGCGCAGCCGCGCCTGGCACCGATCGGCGTGCCAGTGTGGTAAGGTCAGCGTGACTCTCGGATTCAGTTTGGCTGTGCAGGTGGAATGACGGAGAGAACGCAGGCGCTCTATTGGACATGCCTTTGCGCGCCAGGTCCACTGGATTGGTGACTGCCTGTTCAATGGCACGGATGTCCTTTCAAGAAGTTCTGAGGAAAACGCTTGACTAGCGCAATCAAAGCTCCTGTTTGCGAGCCATTTAATGGCAATCTCTGATGAATGGACTTGTGGTGTTGATTTGGAGTTGCTTAGTATTTCTGCCTCCTCTTTCTCTATGCTGTGATGTTTGCGAATTGTTTAGCATTGCTGCCTCCTTTGTCTTTCTCCGCTCCTTCCCTATGACTCTCATTTTTTGCTTGGCATGCTTAGCTTGCTTCGTGTTCCTGTTTTTGCTTCGAAGAAGGTGCTGTTTGTTTTTAGGATCTCGGCCTTTGGGGGAGATTTGGATCTTGTCCGCCAATGGTGTCATTTGACGTCAGTACGATAGGGGGGTCATGTGTTCCATGTTTGGTGAACCTTCTTAGCTCAGATAAAGTTTGTTCGTATCCCTCGGCTGTGGGCAGAGGACCAGACAAACTTCTTTGAAGGATTGGGGCTTTGACACGCCACCCTCCGCGTCGTTACGTGCTGTTCCTTGGTTCATTGCATGATGGCCTTTGCGTCCGAGGACGAGTCCTTTGACTTGACCGTCGGATGAGATGCTGCTGAAGTCATTGCATTCAATCTTGTGACCCTCAAGTGTGCAATGGTTTGCAAATCGGAGGATGACCCAAGCCCTGGCTGAAGTCTGGCCGGGGCAAAACAAGCGAAATGACTCCCTGGCGGACCCAACTCTGCACGGCTGCTTCACAGGTCTCGGAGCCTATATTTCTTGGTAAGGAAAGGCCACTGGCAGTTTCTTCACGTTGAACTTAAAACTCCAGACTGCCATCCGACCTTGAAGCCGCTTGCAGCCTGGTGGTTTCAGCCAATTGCTCTACTTGTAGCTCGCGCCTTAAGCACGCAGGGCAGTTTCCAAGCGAGCCTGTGAAAAGGAGTGTGTTGGGCGGAGCGGCGGAGGCGGGGCTGGACGTCTAGGCTATGATTGGGGTCATAAGATGCTTTGGGGACGAGGGCGGGGCCCAGGTTTCACATTGTTCATCGCCCGCAACAGCCAGCGCCGGCAAGCGCTCTCAGTGCCCAACCGCGGATCATACAAGGTGAGGGGCTGGTCAATTCAGCACTTTGCGCGCATCAAGTAGGGCAACACCTAGGCCAAGAAGTCAGGGCTCCAGTAGTGTGGCAGTCTGTATGTTTGTGCTTTTGTGTGTTTGCACGTTTGCATGTTTGCATGTTTGTTTGTTTGTTTGCTTGCTTGCTTGCTTGTTTGTTTGTTTGTTTGTTTGTTTGTTTGGTTCTTTGTTTGCTCATTTGTCCGTCCGTATGTCTGCCTGTTTTGTTTGTGTGTTTGCTTGGTTGGTTTTTGGGTGGTGGGTGGATGGTGGGTGAGTTATTTGTGTTGGGTTGCAAGATTTTGTCCATACTCTGAGGCCCAATCTCTCTCGTCTCGCACGGACGTTTTTCTGAGAGGCGGTCAGCTTTTGCTTTACGCATACCGTGCTCATGTCAATGCAATGCGAGGGCCTCGTGTGACCCAAACATCTCAAGCACCCATCGGCAAAGTTTGGCAACTAGCAATCCTTTATTTGTTGGACAACTCCCTCTTAGACTCTTCAGGTTTGAGCGGTCACAAGTTGATTGGAGCTGCGAAGAACAGCCCTTTTTGCTCAGAGACGCGCTTGGTGCTTGGGGCTTGCTAGCATCACGCTGTAAATTTGTCAGCGGCTTGCGGCATCACGCTTTAAAATTGTTCCATGAACAGCCTGGACGAAGAGCAATGCCAGGATGTCCATCACGCAACTTCCCACGTTTTTCACGAATTGGCGCAGGGCCCCTTAAAGGATACGTTTAGGCCCGCAAAATGGCCTTTGCCAGCTTGGAGCTTGGGGATATTCTGCGAAGCATTGTGGCTCCAGCTTCAGGGTGACATAGTCGCAATGCAGGCCGCATTACGCCTTTCGATGTGTTCTGGCAGGCGCGGTTGGCAGAGCTCCTGCGGCCTGGCTTCAACAATTCGGGGGGAGGAGGTGGCGGGGAATGGAGGTTGTCGTCAGCTCGCTCTCGCTCGTGATGCAGATGCCATACTGTACTTGGGAACTGCATATTTCCGGTTTGCTGATGATAAGCTATTTGCCAGATTTGAACAGGTGTTGCTCGCAGCTCAAAACCTTGGGGATATGCTGCCTGCATGGTGAACCTAGCTCTATATGTAACCTCGTTGCTCCGATGCCAATGACAGCCTTTGATGCCTATTGGCAGCTCCGCTCAACGGAGCTCTTGCGGCCTGGCAAGAGTTGAGGGCGAGGAGTGGGGGTGTGAAGCCCAGGTTCGAGTGGCTGCCCGCGCCCGTCCTGCTTGGCACCCTGCCAGCGCCAGCGCCGGCATCTTCCCTCCAGCCGCGTCCGCGGCCACCGGTTGGAGTGCCGGTTCGCTGAGATCACATGACTCTTGGTTGATGACGGAGGGGCCGTGTGCGCATTGGACACGCCGTCAGCTTTCACTCACAGAACGGATGTTCTTTCTCCTGTTGTTTAGTGTTGCTGCCCCCTCTCTTATTCTCCTCTGCTTCAATCCTGCAACTGTTTCCTGTTGCTTTGCTCAGCATTTGTGTTTTGCTGCCTCCCCCTCCAACAAAGTGACAATATGGGATTGTTTTTTTGGCTTGGCAGTTCAACCTGCACGCTGCTCCCTGTCTGGGATGGAATGTGGTTTTGTCAGCAGGCCCTGCAACATTTTGCCCATTGCGGAAATCCATACGTGTGTGATACATGCAATAGGTGTATGCATATAAAGATATGAGTCGACAATACTCTTGAATAACAGCGGTTGTATTCGGCGCGACATCACTTAGCTCATAATCTCCAAAACCTATCAAACACCCTGAAAACTGATGGGGGTCTACCCAAGACTGATGCCCCTTTATAGGAGTAAATGCTTGCAATATGTTTTTGTTGCAAAAACCTTTTTGCCACCTTTTTGGCCCTTGCAATCTGGTTGAAGTCATGGCAGAGTGGACCGTGGAAGAGCGCTTCAAACTTGATCCGGCAGACAGAAGTGATAGAGCCTGTGACAGACAGCCGTGATGTTGATAGAGCCTGTTGCGGACAGATGCAACAAACAGATCTGACAGACATGTGACAAACAGGAGGCCTTTTCATGGACATCAATTCCCGCCAGCAACAAAACCAGCCCCCCTGAAGAGCCCCTTAAAAGCCCTTTCCCAAGAGGGGCCTATGGAACTCTCTCGCCAATCCCCGCCACACGCAAACGCGAGGCGACCCCAGGTTCTACATTGTTCATCGCTCGCAGCAGTGAGCTCCAGTTAGAGCTTGCAAGCGCTCTCAGCGCCCAACAAGGCATCACATTCATAAGCTAGAGGCCCATCAGCCTAGTACTTGGCACACTACCGTGTTGGGGCGTATTGCAACACCTAGGCGAGAAGTCAGCGGCGCAGATTTACAACAGCAGCAAGGAAGACACACAGAAAAAGTTGAAGAAGGTCCCCAGGAAACAAACATGTGTGAAGCGAACATTTGTGGCATTTCAGGTCCGTTACTCTGTGGGCCTTCGTGGGTGTTTCCGTCAGTGTGTGTGTGTGTGTCAGCGTGTCACTGATTCACTGTGTGACTGTCGGAGTCAGAGGCGAATTTGAAGGGCAGGCTGGGCCAAAAGTATCGGAGAGAAGTCCTGTGTTTTGTATTTTTGGTTTCAAGCACTGAGTTCAAGGCCTCGCGCTAAGCCCCGCGTAGCGCGCGGCGGGGCGGGCAGATCTCAGACCTCAGTGACTCAGGCCGATCACATCGCTCGCTCTGAGCGCCAGAAGCCCTTCAATCCCGCGCGTGGCAAACTCCCCCGTTGGGGCCTGGAAATACAGACAGGCCTAGGCCCAGAAATGCGCAGCTTTTACGACCGCAAACGTGGCATGAAGAGCAGCAGGCAGAGTATGAGTCCAAGAGCTTATCTTTTAACTGGGCTGTTCGCCCCCAAGGAATATTCTCGTGCTTGAACCGCTGATTGCCATGGTTCAAAAAGAGATCGAGCCATGCTGCGTCGGTTGCTTCCCGCAGAAGAGAGGTTGAATGGCAGTTCAGGTTCGTAGCTTGTGTGTGTGTGTGTTTGATTAAGAGGGCTTTTTGGATGTATGCATTGAGGACCCTGTCCGGTGGACTGGGGTTTTGCGAAGATGGCCAAGCGTGCGCTCACGGCCAGCTGCTTGCAGGCTCAAGCCCAGCTCAAGATGAGAGGGAACGCCCACAGCTGAACTGGGCCTCAGATTTTCAGAGCCGGAATCAGCTCCTTATTCCCAAGCCCACGTGAGCCGTTGCGCGCGACGGGAGATTTCATTGGACATGAGCAGTCGCAACGCAAAGCACAGAACAGCTTCGAGGCAAGTACCAGTCGGCAAGTTAAGTTTGCGTGAGAACACATCCGGGATACTTGTATGTCAGTGCTTTCCTGACCCATGGATCGTGAGTATGAAGAGGTCGGATTCTGAGTTGGGCGCAGAGGTCAGCAGAATGCTCAGCGTGAGTGGCAAACAAGGAGCAAGCTGTAATCATTCGATTGACATGAAGTGCTCGAAGAAGTGTCTTTTTTTGGCTACCTGAGGTGATTGCCAACCAGCCCGTGGTCATCGTCGCTCTGGCGAATTTGACATGCAGCCAGTTCGATGGCGTTCCATGCGACTTGCTAGATGACAACAAAACAGAACTGGAGCGTGTGTGTCTTTCTTTTGTTGTTTTGGGGTGGTTTGGGTTGACTTTTGCCGCAGCTGCCAGGATAATGGCTCGGGCATGATCAAGGCCAGATGGGTCTTTGTTTCCGGGGGCCCAACAGGCTGTTTGCTGCCACTGGATGGTTTGAGGCATACTATGTGGACGTGGATAGTTCTCAAGAGCAGCAAACGCCAGTAGGTAAACCATGGCAACGTCAAGACATTTTCTGGAAAACAATGATGATCTCCAAAGACATGAGCTCATTGCGCGTTGAATCACAGCTCTGCAGCAATGGTTCTAATTGTCCCTCAAATGCAGCTGGGCATTCACGCAAAACAGATCCCTGTTCCCGTGTTTGAGCAGTCAGGGCACTTTTGGCTAGGCTGGCTTCGCCGGGGATGATGATGCCGCACCTCCAGCAATCCAATGGGTGGTGGGAGGAACTTCTATGTCGTACGAACCTGGGTTTGTCTACGTTTGCTGCTCAAACGACTCCGCGAGATGGAGCTGCGTTGAGACATATCCACACGAGTTGTGAGCCCTTTAATTTCGGCAAACAATTTCATCCAGAACACGCTCGCAGGACCGAGGGTCAATGAGTTTGACGCTGATTTCGCAAGTGCGTTGGCAAACGGCACAATGCGTTGCTTCTCCTCAGTGGCCTGGACACAAATTCATTGCCCAATTTGCGTTCGTCCCGCTTGAGGTCAAGCTGGTCCACCCCTCCTTTGTGGGGAGGTGCAGATGTTGCTGATCGCGGGTCGGCACGGTGGGGAAGGCCTTTTTGAGCGCCTTTCAGAAACCCTTGACGGAAAGGCTCCGGATAATTTAAAGACGTGTCAAGCATAGGTCACGCCATTGGTGTTGAGACGTAGATCATCCCCCACATCCTTTGTGCAAGGGTTGTTTCGCGTGCAAATTCAAGCAAAGCACGGTGACAATGAAAGGCTGCTCAGGCTCTCTTGAAGTACTGAAGGTGAAAGTGTTGTTCCCGAAATGTACCACTCTGTTGCGGCGCAAGCGGTCAGTGGCCTCTCCAGATTTGTGCGCAGATCGGCAGCATTCCAAGTTTGTTGCAAGTGGTTGGCAATGTATGTTCACAACTCTTGCTTGTCTCATGCAATGACTCCTGCAAATGGTGGGTAATCACGTCTAAAAACAAGGGCTTCCCAATTTCAAGAAGCAGATGCTTGGATGTTTGGATGGTGCTCTTCTTTGGGGAGGAGCAAGGACTGGAGACCCTCCTGATTGGTGTCGCTTTGCTTTTCGCTTTGACATGTGACTCCGAAACGCTCCCTAGATTCGATCTATGTCTCTCTATCCATTTCAGAAGATTGGGCAAGTGGTTTCCTTGTCTCCCAAGGCCGCAGGCATGGAGGGTGAGAAGCTAGAAAACGCAGCAGCGGTGCCCTCAAAAACGACGACGCCGAAACCCATTCGCATCACGTTGGTAATCTCGGTGGTTCTACCTGGCACTGCCCCCTTGCCCCTAAAATTCCCACCCCCCCCCCCCCCCTTAATGGGTGGTGAGGTTCTACCTTTTTGGTGTAAGGCCTATGAAGACCTTAGGGTCCGAGCCCTGAGCCATGCTGATGGCCGTGATGGGTGGCCAGGCCCAAGCACCAGCGGGTCATGGCCGGCGCCGCGGAGGGCGACACTGGGGACATCTTCGTGGGCCTGGGATCTCAGCCGAGGGAAGCGAGGATGGGTGAAAATCGATGGCATCAACTTGGATTTGATTCTGTAGTGTCCCCAGATGAATCCTTGGAGCCTTGTATCCAGGGTGAAGTTGGTTCAGCGTAGTTGTGCCTTGTACTTTTTCAAACTTGAACAAGATATGCACTCGTGGCTAGTGGCACCAAGGGGTTGAGAGCTTGGGCTGTAGCAGCGACCGGAATTCAAAGATCATCGCGCGCAGACGAGGCCCGGGAACGGTTCTAAACTTTATCCAAGAGGAGGACTCCTGTTTTGAACACAGTGCCATGTGTGCAATGACGTCCTATCTTTTCAGGGGTTGCCTGCAGCATTGCGGCAACCCTGCTAATTTGGCACGATCTCGTTTCAACCTTCAATTTTATGCCTAGGAGAGGTGGTGTGTCATGTTGTTAGGGAGCCGCCTGTTCTTTACCAAATCAGTGAGCCAACCATTGATGTGCATTCGCAGCCTTTGTCAGGATGCATACACAAGTACAGGCAGTGTAAGCAGCGACGCTGTTCATTGGTGGTTCGATGTTCTGCGTGCGACTGCAACAGGAACAAACCCGCCTTAGTGGTTTGAAGGGAATGTCCATGACACGAGTGATTTTGAGGGGCCCATGACTAACCCTGAGAGCAAATCACGCCCTCAGAGTCGGACTGTCCGACTGCCGTGAGCCCGGAAGCTGTCGGCTGAACGCCTAACGCAGAGGGCCAAGAGCCCCAGGCGAGCGCGCCGAGAAGTTCCGGGGGATTCTGTCGCTGAAGTATCCCATGGAGCACGGCATTGCCCGCCGCTGAGGGCACAGCAACGGTCAGACAGGTGTTTCAAGTCGGTTTACACGGGTGTATCGTTTTTGAGGGTACGGTTTTTTTAGGGAAATCAAAAAGTCGCCACCTGTGTCGAGGATTCCCCTATTTTGAGGCACACCCAGATCAAACGCAGGAGTTAACTTGGAGAGCTCAGTGGGTGTTTTTCCGATTTACTGTGATGAAGTGCAACGAAAAAAAGACAAAACATCTTGGCAACTTCGCGCGATTTGTACGTGATCCTTTTGAGGGAGCTCAGTTTGCAGTGCAGGGGGGATTGCCCCTTTTTAGTTTGTTTAGGTGCAAAGTGGGTCCCTCAGCATGAGTGTCATGTTGGAAAAGAGCCTGCTAAGTTGTTTTTACGCTAAGTTACAAAGGGAGCCAGCTGCCAATGACATTTGATTTCATTTTTTCAAAAAACAAGTATGTTGCAGAGCATCACAGGAGCAGATCAAGAAGAACGCCCACTACTCTTTTGTGCCTGCTCGCATGGCACGTTTGTCCCACCAGTTTGCCAGGTTCAGCACTGGGATGACATGGAGCTCATTTGGCGCCACGTCTACTCCGAGATGAAGGTGCAGGCCTTACAGCAGGCAGAATCTATTTCGAGCGAGGCAATGACCAGTTCATTGCCTGGTGACACTTTGCAGGCTTGTTGCGTTCGAAATTGAACAACTTAGTTGGGCAACAATTGCTCTCGCAGGAGCAGCATTTGCTCGCTGACACGATGATAGGCCACCATACACAGCAGTGCACACACACACAAGCACACCCTCTATCACAAACCGGAGCGTGCGCCTGAAAGCTCTCAGACGTCATGGAGTCCTGAATGCAATCATGCACACGTGCGCATGTATCAACATGGTAACAACGCATCTCTACAAGCGCGCACAAACGCATGCACCCACACACACACACAGAGACCCACACAGACCCACACACACACACACAGACACACGCAGAGACACACAGACACACAGACACACACACACAACACACACACACACACACCCACCCACCCTACCCCACCCCACCCCACCCCACCCCACCCCACCCCACCCCACCCCACCCCACCCCACCCACCTGCTCATTCTTGTTTTCAGGCGGGCAACCATGCATGAAACAGAATGTTAACATAATAAAGTTTGCAGGCTAAGAAAAGCTGATGTGCTTATGTCACAGAGAGAGAACAACATGACAGCCACGCCCCCCTGGCATACACCCGGGGCGGGGGGGGGGGGGGCTTTTACCAATGTGCTCAGAGCTGGCACACAGAAGCATAGGCATAAAGCCACGACACGGCAAGCCATGCAGGAACATACTGTACATGGGAGCGCAAACGTATAAATAACGCACGTACGTTTCGTCGGGTCAATGTAAGTGTGGATCGCTTTCGAGCAGAACACGAACAGATATATCGAGCTACAACATGGCGCATGTTGAAGGTTTGCAGTAGCATCAACCCATTGGCACACGCCCCCAGGTTAATGCAGAGGAGCATCCTGTCCTCCTCACAGAGGCCGTGGGTCAAACGCACTCAGATGCTGCGAAAAGTTGAGTACAGCAAAGACCAACATCAGGCCCACCGTGAGCAGGGGTCCCTACTCTTGGTGCTTCTTGCGGAGTCAGAGGGGATATGTGTGTATGCTTGAGTATCCAAGTGCCACTCGTGAGAGTTTCCGGACGTTACTCTTCGAGAGGCTCCGCTGAATCCGCGGAAGAACCGCGAGAAGGCCAAGAGGGTTTCAGGTAGATTCAAGCCAAAGATGAGGCGATACCCGTGCGCAAAACAGGCAATGACATATGGACCTTGAGCCGCAACACTCTCCTCAAGGCCTTCTGCTGGCCAACATGAGGCCATCATTCCAATCAGGTTTGGCGCAGGTTCTTTCAAACGGTCGCAACCAAGTGTGCCGCGCGAAGAAATCAACCCAATCACGGAAAGGAGGGCCCCCGCACAAAGTCACACTAGTTCTGATGTGCGGCCTGGGCGTATTGTAGTCGCTTGAATTGCACTCAGTTTCCTCAATCAATGCCGACTTTGTTTGTGACTGGCTGCCGATTCAGAGAGTCATCGAGTCAGCAAATCGAGACGGCACCGTCCATTTCATTCCCCTCACTTGTCATCAGAAAGGACAAAAATGGGTGGCTTCCTTTTGGATTCCCTTCAAAACAACATAGCGAAATAGACACGCCCAGATTCTCTTGATTCTCTTCAGATTGATCAATCCCGTCAGCTCCACTTCTCGGCAGGCGGCAGAAATCTTCTTTGAGACCTTTGGCTGTCCGGCACTCTTTGTCTCTGCGCAGGCGAGCTGTGGGAGTGGCTGATCTCAGGATTCCTCCAACTTGGAAGCTCCCAGGCAGCCCACAAAAGGGTGGTGTTCCTCTTGCACCTCTTGGGATCTTCCACGTCAGCCCGAGGTTGACTTTAGATCGATTGCCATTGCATAGACCAGTCTGTTCACCCGTTTGGGCCACAACCCGAAGAGAAGGACGCCTCATGAAATGCCCCGGCAAATTGGCGGTGGGACTTGGTTGCGTTTTCCAGAGATGCCCCTTTGTGCAGCATTCTCCGCAGCGCGACGGTTAATTGTTTGGCTGCGCACCTTGACCATGCCGTGCAGTTGTGGAGCCATGTTCAAAGCTTACCGCAAATCCTCTTAATGATGGCTGAAAGGGAAGCACCCCCCCCCTCTGAATGTTCACTTTAATGGACCCAGACTTATCCATCCAAAGACGACATGGCCGATTGAACTGGAAAGCTGCTTTCCTCCTATTCTCTGCCCCAAACTGATTCAGGATCCTAGGTTTTCGCCAATCTTTCTGCCCCGCCTATTCCTTGCCCAAGCCGCATCCGAGGCACTTTCCTCGAGCGATTTGTTCTGTGCGATTCGCGATATTGTTGACATGCAAGTCTGTATGTTTAGTTTACAATCCAGATTGAAAGCCAGTGAAAGCTAGGCATGTCGGGAACAGCAACATTCAGAGATAGAGTCCGTTGAAGAGTAGGTATACGAGACTGAGTTCGATCACTGGATACTCCAGCCATGCATTCTCCACTATTTGCTGGACTCAGTCAGCAAGCCAGAGAAACAAAGCCTCCCAGTGTGGGCACAGTCGGGAGACTATGTGTGTTGAAAGGACACTCTCCATTTTTTGAAAGGTTCTAACTACGCACAAAGTAGCAGATGCACTCCGGGATGCTTGAGCATTGGACTCCCCATCATTGTGCGCCAGGCGATCCTATCCCTGTACGCCAGCGGCAGAACAACCGGTGCCGCTGAGCTTAGAACGAGAGAACAAGGACCTTTTGCCCTTAAATCAAGTCCGTGAAAGCGCATCAAGCAAACCAGAGGACCCTCAAATACAGTTGGTGGACATACATCTCCATGTAAGTGACATCCACCAAAGGTTCCAATCAAGATTCATATCCTTTTCTTGGTCGTTTGTCGGACGCTCCCGAGCCATGTTGCCTTTTTTGGTGTCAGGTTGTCTTGGACTCGGGCGACGGTGTCACCCATGCGGTGCCGGTGTACGAGGGCTTCGCGCTTCCCCATGCGGCAGGGTTCTTAGTTGTGCTGATGCTACGCCGCTACGCCAAAATGAGTTTGTTTCGCAACCTTTTTCCGGTTGGCCGACAAAACACTCAACTGTTTTTTTCTTGAAAGGCTACTATTTTGCAAGAAAACTAACGCGAACCTAACCGTAGGCTTTTGAATGACTGACATCACCAATGTGATGGAGTGCTGGCTCCTCACAAGAGGTTCGAATTGAAGGCTGCAACAGCTTCCCTTTGTTCTATTTGCCAGCTGCAGAACTGTTTGCTTCCTTGCCAAGGTTCGCTGTGAGTGTCTGATAGTTGTTACGTCAGAGTCCTGGCTGTTGCCTTACAACGGAGGAAGAGCAGGAGCGGAGCACTGACACACCCAACGCAGCCCATGGGACCCAGCAGCTTTGGGGAAGCTGAGACCAAGGTGATGAGATCAGATGTCGCGGGCCGAGACGCCCGGGCCCTTGGGATTCGGCGATCGAGCTTCGGCTCAGATGGCCACGCAGCGATCGCTTCGGCACCCCGTGGCTCTCCAAAGAGGTGTCCCCCTTTTGTTGGGGTTACCTTATTCGGGTCGGTATAATTGTAAACGCTTCGCGTTGCCCGCCTCGGCCAGAGGTCGCAGAGAGCCACAGAATGGCGGGCCAAGCGAAGGTGCAAATTTCTATTGAATTTGACTGGTTTCTGGGGGTGATTTTTTCCGGTTTTTTGGGGGGATTTGACAGGAGTTGGGCCTGTTTTTAGAGGGATTTGACCTGGTTTCGACGGTTTTTATGGGCGATTTGATTGGTTTGGGGGATTGACCACCAGCTTTGACCGGAATTGGACCGGTCTTTACAGGGATTTTGCTGGTTTCTAGATGGGAAGTTGCCCGGTTGTCTATTGGCTGGATTCGACTGGTTTCTACGATCACCTTGTAGAGGGACGGTTGAAAGGCGAAGGGATCTGACCTGCCGGGTTTGGGGTTCGACTGCTTCCAGGCTCGCTTCAGGCGGACTGGAGGCAGCTGGAGCAGGGATTTTGGCCGCGCTGAAGCTTTGAAGGTCGAAGCCATGCCCCTCTTCCCCTTGAAGGGCTTCAACGGCTTCGAAACCCTTGAAGGCTTCAACGGCTTCAAGGGCTTCAAGGGCTTCAAGGGCTTCAAGGGCTTCAATCTGAAGGGGTCTGACCGCTTGCCGGCCCTGAGGGCCAAGGCGAATATGAAACCAGCTCTTTGAAAGGGTTCCTAGTTTGACACGCTGCCACTTTATCTATGGTCGGAACCTGTGCTCTTTGTAACTCATAGCCTCCTCTTTGTCTTCCGCGGTTGCATCATCTTGCGAAGCCTTCCACACTGTGTTTGCAGCGCCGGCCGCTCCAATGGCAGCCCCCAGAACAGGGACAGCATTGCGAGCACAAGCAGCAGCCTGCGCAGCTGCATTGAAAGCTGCGGATCTTGCCGCTGCCTGGGCTACGTCCAACACTTTGCCCGCCGCCCACTGCAGCTCCCTTACCGACTTGCTTGGCAGCCTTCTTTGCAATGATCCTGCCATTTGGCATAGTCTGCCCCATCACAGAATGCAGGAGTGGCCCCGCCGATGGCTGCACCAGCTACACCAGCCTCCTCAGCTGTATCTTCTGCTGCATATGTTCAAATGTTCCTTTTTCTCATTGCCTGCGAGCTCGAGGCTGTCTTTCTGCACAAACTTGATGTGGGACAAATCCAGGCTCCCGTGACGCACCCATCCCGGACCCACTTGCTGCTCGGGAGCCTATCTATGGACCCCGTCGAGGGACCTTCCTTTCGACAACATGATCTGCTCTGGATTTATCCCAAGGACACGATCCGTAATTCTTCAGGCTGCCTTGCTAAACCTCTTTGCTCCCTGCCCTCCATACACTCCTCGCCCGAATTCTCCAGAGGCTCCAGAAGCTCAGAGGCCATCATTTCATTGGTGCAGGTCTTGGCTGCCATGGTCCGGCTGGCTGGGCAATCCTGGGCATTCTTGGTGGGTGGCTCATTCATAACTTTGCCTAGATTCTTGTGAAGGGCGTGCCAGTTTTTGTTGTTATTCCAACAGCGATCCAAACCACCCATTCATTGATGTACGGACAGCTTTTCAGAACCCCTGCGAAGGAAAATGGCGGGCCAGATCCCAACACAAACCGAGCCTTGAGCTCACTACCTTTTAGGGGTTTTGGAGCAGGAAGCGGACTGTTGTGTAGGGAATCATCGCCAAGAAGTCGCTCGAATTTGTTGAGATAACCTCCAGTAGTTTGAGCCTGAAAGTTGTTTCGACACCGGCACCGGAGGGGTGCCGAGAGGCATTCGTATTCATGTAGCACTACGGCTCTGGTGCAGTAGGTGCAGCGATTGTCAAAGCTACTGCCGTTTTGCCTCCTGAAGCCATACAACGATGGGTAAGTGCGTATCTAAGAGGCATGTTGTGAGCCCAATGGCTTAAGCAAGTACAACCAAAGACAATCAGGCAAAAATTTGAGCAGACAGTTTCACAGAAACCCCCTTGGCTACCTGAAAGCCTGGTCAACTGGAAACGCTGGCAAACTAAGTGCAGATGGGCATGCCTTTCTCTGGTGAGTTGTGTTGAAAGAAGGCTTGCTGGTGCCTGCCGGCCGGTTCTTGGTGCACAACTGTCTCGGATATCGAGGGCTCGTATGAACTGACGTGTGGAGAGGTTGGCTGAACAGAAGTTTCCAGACGATGTCCTAGATGTTCTCCTGGCGTCTGTTGGTGTTCACCTAAACATCGGCGTGTCTTTAAAACCCCAAATGTATGCTTTCCTTTTGGCTGTGCTTGAACACCGCTCCAAAAATGAGGCCCTGAAAACAAGAGATGCCCACCTTGAGATGCCCGCCTGCAGGTCACAGACCACCTGCTGCTGAACTTGCGGCGCACCGGCCACGCCGGCAGCTCAGTGCTTGTGGAGGAATCCCCTTTGGAGGGACCACCTGTTTGGGTTACGTAGTATTATTTGCAGAGAAATGGTTGAACCATTTTTGCAAATTGTTGCCGGCAACAAGCTTCGGAGCTTGCTGCCCAAAACGCACGGTCGGGGACTTTGTGATTACTCTTGGACATGTACCTCGGAAATACGTGCTGCCTACTTTGGCAATTTGCTTGCCCGGACTTCGAGATGGTGCTGAAGCTGGGCACAGTTGAGCTTCATCCAACAAACAGAACCGGCCGACTTCAGTCCGAGGATATTTGTAACGTACCCGAAAATTATTGCGACCCAAACCGATTGGCTGGGCCCCTCCTGGGTTCCATGGTATTTTTAGGGATACGAGTACCTGGACATGTTATACCCTTCAGCCCATTTCATCAAACCAGGCACGAAGCTACTCACTGAGATTGGCGGCTTGCCCCGCGCAGATCAGCAGCCTACATCCTGAATAGCCTGCGTGGGGCCCTGCCGCAAGGTCTTCCACACCTCTGCAGAGCGGGAGGTGGTGCGACAGATCAAGGAGAAGGCCAGAAAAGTGCAAGGTGACCGCACTCGGACCCAAGATGCGTTTCCAGACGCTGAATCAGGTCGGTTTCAAGGGCCTAGGGTGCTCCGGAAGGTCTGAAGATAACCCGTAAAAACTAAAACAAGAGGGCCTGACAGGGTCCCCTGTCGTGAGGGATCCAGCTGATTCACCCGTGCAGTCAAGATCTTTGTAGAGCAATCTCCCTTTTTGTGGCTTGCATGTGAGTTGGCAAGAGGCGAGGGTACCCTGATTGCAGATCAACTTTGTTCTCACTTTAGCACCTTACCTTCACGTGCTGGCAGGAGTGTTATGTAGCGCTGAACCCGCAGAAGGAGGAGCAGGCGTGTCGCAGCGAGCGGAGACCAGAGCTCTTGGGAGTGATGTTTCCAATCCGGGTCACAGGGCCTTGCGGGTACGTGACGGTTCTGGAAAACCAGATTACGCTCAAAGTGGGATCAACATGCTGAGACTTGAACTTAGGCAAGATGCGCCCTTTCCTTTGCACTAAGCCAACACGCTGAAATTGCGATTGTGTGCCGTTGTGCTAGTGAATTGAGCTGATACATTTCCCAGTGGGGCTGATACAAGTGGACATAGTGCCTTGCTGAATTTCTGAAAATCCGCATGTTTATCCCTGTGAGTTTGCAATTGTGCCAATCTTGTACACATTTGACCTTACCCGAGCGGCTTCGCGCTGACTGCAGTTGAACGTTATTGTCCTAAAGGTTGGTTTTGATCGCCATGAATAGACTCAGTGCTGGTAGGGCGAGCACGACAAGACGTCTATGCAGCATCAGTACAAGCTGTCCGCATCCCAGAGCGAAGTCATGTGCAGCCTTGATTGTTTGCTTGCTAGCTTACCTGTTTGATTGCATGTTCAAGTGCTTGTTTTAGTTGCTTGGCTGGCTGACTTCTCGAGCGGTCCATTTTTGAATTCAGTTTTCATGTATGGCATGCATGTCCAATGTAGTTGTGTCTTTAATTGCGTGTCGGTGTGATCAGCCCAAACTTGCAGGCCCGATGGCACGGTCATTAGCTTGGGTGCAGAGAGGCAGGGCCAGCATGCGACTGCGGAGCGTTCTTTGGCAAGGTGAGTGTTGGTATTTTAAGCAACAAGCGTTCCCATTCTTGGAAAAACGTGGAGATTATGTTTACTGTATAATTGCGACAAGCTATGTTTGAGTGTTCCCTGTCCTGAACCTGTTGAATCCCGCTCGAGCTTCAGCCAGAGCTAGTAGCTGTTCCTTGTCCAGCGGTCGTACGTCTTTCAACTCAAGGCGTTTGGCCCAAGCTGTGAAGAGCTGAAGTTAGCGACGCGAACCCCATCGATCCATGGCTTCCGAGGCCAAGGCCATGAAGGTGGCCATCATCGGTGCAGGACTGGGTGGCCTCACCTTGGCCAAGGCCCTAGGCGAAGGCGCGGACACGGGACGCAAGGTGGAGGTCTGTTTGTATGAAGCTTGGGACGAGTGGAAGGTGCGCGGTGGAGCCATTGGTCTGGCCGCAGGCAAGCGGATCCTGGAGAAACTGGGACTCAAGGGCCAGCTGGCTGCAGTGGCCAACCAGATCAACGGTTTTCAGGTGAACTTCCACGCAAATGGCAGCAAGTTGAACTCCCTGAGCGTCCCAGGTTGCACAGTGATGCGCACGGATCTTCAGAAAGTCTTAGTTGAGTCGCTGCCCTCCAACGTCATCAAGCTCGGCCACAAGCTGGTTGAGATCGTGGAGGGAGAGGATGAAGTCATGCTGGAATTCGAGAACGGAGCAAGAGACTCTGCCCACTTGGTGGTGGCTTCAGATGGCATTCACAGCTTTGTCAGGCAGAAACTTTTTGGTGCGGACCAGCCAGAATTCACAGGCTTTCGAGTTTTGTACAGTGTTTCCTCGAAGGCATATCGCCCTGATCCCACAGTGGCCCATATTCACTGGAAGGAGTCGGATGGAGCTGGCTATGGATTTCTGGATCTCACAGCTGGCCAGGGCGCCGGCCGGCACGATATTTGTGTCATCATCCTTCGCAGTGAGGAGCAGGTGACTGACAAGTGGGAGTCCACCATGGTGAAGGACCCTAGGAATTTGCCCGCTATGTGCCACCTCCAACTTTTTTTTGGGGGGAAATCTGCCTTGTCCTCCCAGCAACCAGCACTTAAACCGCGTTTTGCGGTGGCCAGGACCGTCTTCGGACGCTGGCGCAGCATGTGGCGCCGGACCACCCGGTGCTGCTGAAGGCCGTGGAGTCTTCGGAGGTGTGCTTCGACTGGGGGATCTACCGCCAGCCCCTGCGCAGCACCTGGATCTCCGGCGGCCGCGCGGGCCGCGCGGGCCGCGTGGTGTTGCTGGGGGACGCGGCCCATGCCACAGCGCCCTTCATGGGCCAAGGGGCCAACATGGCGATGCACGACGCCTACACCTTGGCCCAGATCTTGCGGAACGAAGAGATCTCTCTGTCTGAGGGCCTGCATCTTTATGAGAGCAGCCGCAAGGCCTCCTGTGAGTCCATCGTCTCGAAAAGCTCCATGGTGGGCGAAATGCACACGGCCAGCGGATTGAAAGCAGTGCTGCGGAACAACCTCTTGTGTTGGCTCCTGCTTGGGGACATGAGAAGAGTCGTGTCCGCAGATCCCACGGCCCGCAAGCCGTGGGACAAGGAGGAGAGTTTCCTCCAGCGACTTGGCAAACAGGTTCACAGCATTTGTTCGCCCTCTAAGGTGTAGAACTCCAATTTCCTTTCGGTGAGGGTGGCCATCCCCCGCAAAAAGCTTGATGGGGGTGACCGCAGGTGCGATGTACAGACTCCGCGCAATGTAAAGACTCGGCAGAAGTGCTATTTTAAATATGGACCCTAGCTTCAGTGGCTTCGTGACCAGAAACGTGCTCCAAGCGGAATCCTCCGTGATTGGCTGCGGTTGTTGACGGAAGCTTGCCATTTGGGACCTCATCTCACCATGCACAATTTGCGCCAGACCATTCGAACAGAGAAAAGTACGGTGGCTTCCTGAGTTGGCAAGGAACTGGCGGTTATCACTATCACACGCTTACACACGCAAATTGGCGGATTCAAGATGGCCTGTCACGCAAGCCGTCATTTCCATGGAGCCCCTTTGAGCAAGAATCGCTACACAGCTAGAATTGCCCCAAGATGCCTGGCAGAAGTCTTTCGGGGGAGAGGGCTGGCCAAAATGCTTGCAGAAGCCAACTTGCAGTGCCCAATTGCGTCGGCATGTGGCGCGGGATTTGCGCGGATTTCCATCCATGACATTGCCCTCCAGGTGACCTGCAGAAGTCATCCGTCCCTGATGCAAGATCTAAGCACATTCTAATTAAGATAGCCATGATAGTAATGCGTCCCAGTCTGGAATTTTGGCCATTCTCTATTTATGCGTGACCGAGTCTCACATCTTGGGTGATTGTAGAGCGCAAATTCTTCCGGGGGCACCGGGCCGAGCCGTGAATGATGGACCTACGGACCTACGTGCACGCGCGCACGTTGGCAGGTTCCGGGCGCCTGAGATCCTGTTCCACCCCAGCCTTATTGGCTTGGAGTATCCAGGCCTGGCACCAGCAGAAGCCGTGGTCTGCTGTGGGGATTGTGCGTGCATCCGTGTTTGAACTGCAATGTGCAGAACAAAAACACCGGGTTTTTGGTTGTGTTGCATGCCGGTTGCTCGTGGCCATTGGACGTTCAGCAACTTTTGCTCGCGACGGCACTTTGGGTCGTCATGTCTAGCCTTGTCCTGCACATATCACGGAGGCAACAAAGTAAACCGAACACCAATCACCACGCCAGTTTGTAGAGAAACAACCCAAACTGATCCTAAGGGAATCATCCAGCATAGGCCCCCAACGTTGGACAAAGTGTGGTCCACAGACCCTGCTCAACTTGCACATGTCCTACAGTAGGGGAACCGTTTTTGGATAGATTTCGAGCGAACCACTGGAAGCTTCATATGTCAGGTGCCCCTGTTTGGGGGCATTCCCAGCAGATCAGAAGTTCACCGCGCGCTTGCAAACTAGCTTCAAGCCCGAGAGGCTGAGAGTGCCTAAGGCATGTGTCCCTCAGCGGGAAGCAAGGAAACAAGGGTCGTGCCAATGCATTCAAGGAATGTCCAACAATTCAGAACAACCACACAGATCAGCTTTCCGGTGTACGTGTATGCGTGCGCCTTCTCTTTTGGATCGGCGGATTTGCTGATTTGTGCTTTTCTCTTTGTTTCTTTCTGTTGTCCATCTTTCCAACCATCGCCTCCATTTTCAATGGCTTCGCCTTAAAGCCCACAACAAAAGGGGGTACCCTCCAGAAAAGAAACACTTGACACACATCTCTGCCGTCTTTGCCCTCCAACCAAAAGGGGGGTGTCTCCAGCGGTTGGGCAATTGGAGCGAGCCATTCCCCCAGCAGAATACAAGTTGGACTGACCCCTATAAACCATCCCCAAGGGAATCCCCTTCCGTAATTGCCAACACCCGGAACGGTCCTTCCCTACCCATCGCGCCAGCCAGTTTCCCTTCGCCCCTTCGCTTCGCGGAATCCGCTTCGGGTTAACGAGAGGCATCCACGAGCTCCTGGCCACCTCCATCAACCGGGCGGACCTGGACTTGAGACAGACGCTCTTCTCCCAGGCGTCACGGGTGGTTGGCTTTCGGGGTCCCGGGTGGTTGCGCCGACTCGGTGTCCGATGTGCAGAGCGGTTTCTTTTTTCAGCAGGAACATGGAAGCCTTTTTGGTTTAGTTTGGTCTGGTTTGTTTGGTTTAGTTTGGTCTGGTTTGTTTGGCTTGGTTTGGTTTCGTTCGGTTTGATTTCGTTCGGTTTGGTCTAGCTTGGTCTGGTTTGTTTGGTTTAGTTTGGTTTGGTTTAGTTTGGCTTGGTTTGAGACCCTCCAAATCGAGTGGTTCCTTTTTGATTTTCCCTTTGAACCCAACCAACAAGGAAGGGGGATGACGCCGAAAAAGACGATACACACACACATGGTCAATGAACCAACGGCCCCCAACCCAGGATTGGCCAAGGCCCCATTGTCGCTGTTGGGGGCTTTGCAAAAGAGATTCCTCAACAAATGATCAGCTTTGGGGTTCCATGTTATCTGGAGGAAGCCCCGAGGTTGCCGTATGCGAATCAGGGACCAAAAGTGCAAGTGTCACACGTTGACGAGCTGATGGCTTGATTGCGAGGCAAGGCCCTTGAACTCCCTAGACTCCTATAAGCTTTGGCCTTTGGATAAATTGCAAAATGGACCCATTCGACACATCCTTGTTGGAATGACTTCGTTCAATGGTCAGACGCCATGCTGCATGTGGCAACAATGCAGCTCGTGAGACCAAATGCTTGTCATCTGCCAGATCGTCCTCTCCGGCGGTTCGACCATGTTCGAGAAGTTTGGTGACAGGCGTCGGGGTAGTGTCTGTGTGTCGCTTGCTCAAAGACTTGCAGGTCCTGGCAGGTTACCAGAGATTTCATGGTGATGGCAGGTCGCCGGAGGATCACATCCTTGAAAAATCAAATGAGAGAGTAAAGAGGATGGCCGGGGAGGAATCAGAGGGTCCCCTGTGCAACAAGAAGGTGTTGGAGTGTGGATATGCGTGTGGCAGGCTCCTGAGTGAGGTGAAGAAGCTTGCTCCCAAGGACACCCGGAGGGACACTGCACTAGGGGGTTTAAAGAGAAGCTACCACCCAAAGCCACCTTGAGAACCCCTCAACATGCTTACTGAGTTTTACTTCAAGACCTTATCTACCCAAATAGATATGTCATCACATCGTCAATTTAGCAGACAGGTCGCCAGCATTTGCCGGCAGAGACCAGAATCGACGCAAATCAGTGGGCCACTTCCTCTTCAAGCATATCGTGCCTGTTCAATTTGGTCCAGCATTTTTTGACTTGAAGAGTTTGTCACACCCTGTTGCTTTGGAGCTCCCCGAGCAGGGGAGCAATCTGTAGGATATCAAGATCCGCATCTCTGCACCGCCGGAGCGCAAGCTGTCCACCTGGATAGGCAGGGTTTCCGACAGCATCAAAGGGGCAGATGGGTTTGGAGACTTTGTGGACTCGGTGCGAGATCCGCGCGCTGGGCGTGTGGCTATCCATTGTGGACTGCGCCAACCAGAGTAGATCAGGACTGTTGCCATGCAGCACGCAAATAATCTGGTGTCTCAGAACAGGTTTCCTTTGGCGTGCTTTTTCGGCTTCCGGTTTTAGACATCCAACGACAGACCCATACTCTTTGGTTTGGGTTCCAGCAGGCGGCTCTATCCTGGCATCTCTGGCTACCTTCAAGAAGCCCGGGCCTCATGCAGACGCGCAGGGCCTCGGATAACAGGAGGCATCTTGGTGTTCAGCACCTTTGCCATTAGCGCAGCTTGCTGGTTCTCAGCAGAGAATGAGTTGGAATGAGTTGGAATGACCCTGAACTAAACCATCCTGTATGGTTTCCTCTACGGGAATCCCCAGGTTCATTCCCAACACCCGGAACGGTCATTCCCTGCCTACAACTTTGGTTCTTTGAGAGAGGCAGAAGAGGAAGAAGACGCCACTCGTGTTGCCTTGGTGTCCTTCACATGGCAAACCCTGCAGCAATTCTGGCATAGAGCATGCATCTTCGGCACCAAGGATGTGGGTCAAGAAGGAAGAGTTCGAAGAAGAGGGTTACTCCATTCTGCCTTGGTCTCAGCCAGCCAGCGCTCTGTGAGTTGCCCGCTCCATCCGTGTTCTGATCGCTTGATTGAAGCGTGTTCGGTCGTCGCCTGGCCAAGGCACAAGAAGGCCTTCTGACCGGCTTTTTGGGTGTGGTGTTCAAACGTCCAGTGCATGCAATGGATTCGAAAGCGAAGGGCTGGATGCCATATTGATGGAGGCTGGCTCCTTCTTGATTTGGGTTGGAGATTTGCTCGCACATGCTGGGAATCAGAATGTCTAGGTTGGTTCCTGACCTAGATGACTGGTTGGTTTGACCTCATTGACAGGCCATCACCATGTAACGGAAGCCTCTCTTTAGCACCAGGGCCTCGCCCATTCGACCATGCCATGTCCCTTATGGGGCAGATGTTGATTGCGGTGGGATGCCGAGCTTTTTCCAGGCTGATTTGCTCAAGGTACAAGCTCGGAGCTCCCCGGATCTTGGCCTCAGACCCGAAGTTGCTGAAGTCGAAGTTATTGACAGGTCTTAAGTATAGGTGTCCTTGATAGGTTAGTTTGGTAAACAATAGATGGCACTGGTTTAGATGGGGTTTGTTCCGTTCACCAGGGCCATCTATTTTTCCAAAAGGCCACCTATGGTCTTAAGTGATTCCAGGGCTGCATGAAGTGCCTTTGTTGGAGAAGATGTTCTGTGGATCAGATGCACATCAGCATGTCAGGTAGGTCGCACACTGCTCCAGAAGTATCCGCATGCAACTTTCGAGTAGACCCAACTCTCGCTGCATCCCCAGTGCTTGCATAGCATACCAAGAACTAACACCTGCTGATCTTGCAAGCCTAGTGCCATGGCGTGATGCTGGCCACTGCTTTACGCCGCTCGGCATCGCCAAGCCGGTCGCTGGCTTTAACGCTGCCCATGGATTTCACAGATTCCAAATATTATGGAGCTTTGTTAACACGAGCTACAGGCATGAGCGATATACAGCCAAAACAACTTGGCCTCCAAGTGTTGTTGCGCTGGGCAAGGAAGCTGGGGCCTTGTAAACTCAGCAGGGGTCTATCTAACAAAGCCCCAAGTGGGGCCAGGCATGCGAGCGTGCTGCAAACTGCCCAGCGGTTTGGCTTTGTAGATCATGACCAGGCGAGAAAGAGTCTCTTTCCAATTCTGATGGGTTTGGCTATGAAACATAGTTGAACAGCGGGACAACAACTGGCGGCCGGTTTTTACCTCATTGTCCTTCTGCGGCTGGTCGCTCGCAGTGGCGAGCGCGTGAGGCTCGCTGATTCTGGTGGAGTGCGAAGGTTCCGATGGGTCTGCGGCGGCCTAAGATTGGAAGATCTGAGGGATGCGCCACGAAGATCAAGCAGAGCTGGTTTTCAGGCGGCACCAGCTTTGGATTGTTTGTTCAGGTTAGCCTTCCGGTAAGCCCAGATAGATTTTCACATCCCGGTTAGCCTTGACAACTGTCGTCTGGACACTTTGTGAGCTTCATGATGTCTTGAAGAAGTTTAAACTTGCGGGGCCACACCTTGTTCGACTCTTGAAGGGACTTAGCAGTTGCTCGTGTGGTCGCTGGCTGGCACGGTTGAGTGAGTACCAGAGGGGTTGCTTTGAAGGGTCGGCGCATGGCCCCGTTGCCACTTTGACGTTGCCATTTCCGGCTCCTGAGCTGCACCCCTTGGGCCGAAGAAAAGCGCGAATCCGAATCCACCCCGAAGCACCGAAGCGGAGGCGGGGCACGATGCCAGCCCGGCCATCGTGGCGGAGTTCCCGTTGGAGGGCCTTGCCACCAGCCTGGGCTGGGACGTTCTCAGCCGGGCACCCAGAAAAAAAAACTCCGGTGCAGGGCACCCAGAACCATCCTGTGGTTTGGACTTTTCGGGTGCTTTGTAGTTGTGAAAACGGTATTCTGGGGATGTTTCACTTAACTTGTTTTTTGGTAGTGGTGTTTATTCTGTATTTTGGGGATGTTTCACTTGGTGCTGAAACGATGGAATGCAACCACCGGGACAAGTACAAGTGAGACTGTTACTTTGGGACAACCTGTTGATACCTGTTGGGCAGTGTCAAGGCCGGTTTGCCTGCAGGGTTGGTGTTCAGCTTCGCCACTGTGTGATGATCAACCCAGAAAGAGCACCCACCATTTCTGCGGCCGGCAGCAGGCAAAAGGGTGGAGTCAAAAGTGGCGGGGAGTGGTATGGCTGCCGGGGCTGTTTCAGACTATTGCTCGCCCCTGCGCAACCTTGGTAGTTTCATGGTTATAGCAAATAGTGCAAGGTCGTCCGGCGCTGCATGCTGCTTTTCGCACAAGCCAGAGGTTGATGCTTCGAACGTGACCAGGCCAGCGGATTGTGGTGGCAGTGAGCGGCGCAGCTTCAGATCGACTTTGCTTCTGCGATGCTGGACTGATGGGTTGAATCGGCTTGGTGTGCGAGGTGGTCACCGGTTCGGTCAAACTTTCCAGTTGACAGTCGATATGGGACGTTGGGACTGGGGGTCCACCGTCCACCCCCTTTTGGCAGTGAGAGATGGCTCGGTCTTTGATTGGTTGTGTGGGGCCCACAAACCGCCTGACTGCAAAACTAGACCCTCCGCACAAAATTTATGGGAAAGAGTCAACACCCATGATTGGGAGTGTCGGCCTAACCTTTACGTACCCGGGTGTAACTTAAAGAACCCCACCCAACCCAAGGTAAAGCAGTCCACCCAAAGCCCATGGGTGACGAATCCAAACCACTGGCTCCCCGTTGATTAGTTTGACCCCACAACCTTTCTGTTCAACAAGAACTCAAACACGCCATTAAAACCCGCAGCAAACAAGTCGGTTCCAACCTTGCCAGGGAAAGCTTCCCTAAGCCACCCACTGGCTTTGTCTCCAACTTGGGGACCACGGAATTGGTGTCCGTTTTTTTGTTTCCCTTTAAAACGGTAGCTGCTTCCCTTCAAAACCCAAACGGGGCAGCCTCCAAAAAATGACGAGCCACGCTGCCAAGCGACGCCGGGCGTCGCTTCAACCGAAGGAGAGGAGTCCGTGGAGGAGGTGCCGCTGCCCGCCGGGGCGCAGGCCATGGCGCTGAGCTTCTTCGCGGATCCGGAGCGAGCGGGGAGCGGATGGGGATGCCTTCGCTTTTGGGCGGTGGTCTCTGCAAAATCTATGGACTCAAATATAGCTTGAGCATAAATTGGTACTGGCACACAGTTTTTACGGATATTTTTTGGTAAAGCTCTTAGCAGCGCGACATGCGTTTGTCTTTTGTTGTTTTAAAGAAATAAACGTTGTTGTTTGGTCGTTGTGCTGCTGTTTTGATGCTTCTTCCCGGCTTTCGTCACGTGGGCGTTAAAACCAGGTGGACGCCTCCATTGTGTTGCGGTGCCGGGGGTGGAGCTGGTTCTTTGCTGCGCTGGGGGTACCCTTGCTTTTGGGGTGTTCTCTTTTTTCAATGTGAGCCAAACATGAAATGCTGCATGCTATTCAACTACATCAAGCCCCTTGTTGACACATTGCCACGAGTATGAGCTCCGCCGTTGCTGTTTCACATCTGGGTTGAGTCATTCACCCAACTTGTAAGTGGACAACGGGCGCCTCCAAAAGGCAAATGGCTGTTGGATCTGGTGCACCATGAAACAGAACTAGTTGACTTCAGAGAGGATGAGTCTCATCCATAGACCGGTGTTTGAATTGGGCCTTCGGACAGACGGCCCATGGATTTCAGTAGGACCTAGTCGATACATGGCAGTGAAAGATCCTCTAGAGTGAGATGCTAACCTTCCGTTTGGGGGAGTCTTTATGAACGCCCATGCGTCCTTTCGCCGAGTTGCTAAGATTCAGAGCTGCATGCCTCTCCGTCAGGATCAACATCCATGGGAGAACATGGCAGAGTGAGCGGATGTGCAAATTCGGAGCCCCCGCCCTCAAGCATCAACGCTACGTGGCTCATGATCCCGTCTATGTCAAACTGGGAACACCTCCCCCAAATCGTGGTTTTCCTCCCCCAACAAAAAACAACAACTCGACTCCGTCCCCCCCAAAAATCGTGGTTTGTCCTTTTGGATCCCCGCCTCCATGCCAAACATTTACGCATCCCTCCCCAGGAGCGGCGCAAGAGCTGGGCGGCCGTGGCCTGCTCCGACGGGGCCCTGCGCCTGGTGGACGCCTCCCCCATGCGCACCGCCTCGGTGGTGAGGCGGCCGCTGCTGGGTAGGTTCTGTGGCTACGAAGTCCGGCTCGCGCCTTCGAGCTCAGAAACCCGCTGGTTTCTGAGTCGATTCCCCCAACAGACATGTTCAACCATGATGGTTTCGAGCATGGTTTGAAAGTGGTGCGAACGGGTTTTGTCCACAGTATGGTCATGGACTGAAGTAAACATTTCAGGGATGGCGGAGCCAGAACCATGCAATGGACATGACCCGTGGCTTTGTCCACAGGGCGCCCAAACCTGATAGTTTGAAGTCGGAAATTCAGAAATGTGCCAATGTCAGCGAGTTCTGTTCTTGCAGGGGCCCTTTTACCGGGTTCCAAATGGGTTCCAGCTGGTGCATGAATCATGTCCCCTCCATTTCTTAGATCCCATTGAAGGGGTCACCATGGTCACCCACATATGGCTATGATGAAAGGGGAACTGTTCACAGTGGTGGAGACAAATGGCTGTGGGTCAAAACCAATGGTACTATTTTGGGGTGGGTGCACCACTCATTTTAGTCTTAAGACTTTCACTGAGGCAATAACTGGGAAGTACAAAAAAGAAACAAAAAGCAAACAAAATACAAAAACAATACAAACCAAAAATACACACTGAAAAACAAAACAAAACAAACAAAAAAAGAAAACCGGGGGGAAAAAAAAACAGAAAACAAACAGACAAAAAACAGAAAACAAACAACACGCATGCACAGAAAGAGGGAAACAGGGATGCCTGGTCTGCCCCTGAAGTGTCCCGGGCGGCATTTTGTTCTTTGTTTGTTCTGTTTTTGTTCTTTATTTTTTCCCTCGTGTTTTTACACATTTTGGATACTTGGTCTGCCCCTGAAGTGTTTCCGGCTGCATTTTTTTTTGTTTGTTCTTTTTTGTTTTTTTTTTTTGTTGTTTTTTGTTTGTTTCCGCGTCTGTATTTTTATATTTTTGCTGATTTTCAGTGATTGCCTATTTCTGAGGGTCATAATTTTAGTGCATTTTAGTGGTTGGATTGGGATGTTCACTGGGGTTACGATTTGGATTTTGACCCATAGCCACATCCTCAAGCGATAGTCCCCCAAAAGGGCCCCAAACAAAGTTCGGACTGGCGTGAGGTCGCCTGCGAGTTTTTTCAGGAGCTGCTACTCCCACGGCGTGGCGGCCACGGCTGTGGCCATCTCCCGGGATGGCGCGGGCGGAGGGTGCGGGTGAGGTGCTTGTCACATGGTTGGAGCACAGGATCATTTCGAACATGGGGCTTGCCTTGGGCATATCCTAAGCCGGTACATCCTTTTTTCTGGAACCCAAGCCCTTGCTACTTACCCCGAACAGAAAGAGGCGGGTGCCTCGCACTTGGAGGTGTCCGCTAGCAAGCATGTTCTTGCCCGAGTTGGGAGTCCAGATAGAGAAACAGAACCGGGCCACCCAAACTGGGTGATGGTTCGATGTTTGTTTGCTGGTGTTTGCCTATCCCAGGCAAGCAGTGCCAGGTTTGGATCTATGCTTGACAATCTCAAGTTCTTGGACAGCCTGATTGAAATGGAATTGGTGATGTGCCTGCTGTCCCGCTACAGATTGCAACACCAAGAAGCTTACGACATGTTCGAATCATGTTGGATAGCGAAGTTGGGCAGGATGATGATAGCCTACAACCTTGCAACATAGGCTGAGCATATTGTGTGGTGAGCTCTCGTATGGCTGTTCTGACACGTACTCATGAGAGCGTTCCAATGTTCTCATTCTAGGTTCCAGCGGTTCAAACAGTTTCAGCCAAAAGGTTGACATCCCATTTCAAGTGCTGCAAGCAGCTCTCATGCATTTGCGTTTGCGCCGCTGTCGTGCCTGGCTTGCCATGAGGCGGTTCAAGTGTTCCTGGCTGTGGGAAGCGCCGCAAGGCAAGTCCTTGGCTTCGGGTAGCTCGAGCGGCCACGTGGTGCTGCCTGGGGACTCGGGCAGCAACAATGCTGTCAGGCAGGTTCATTTGGTGAACCTATGTAGCCAACAAATCGGTGAGGACTCTCCACTTTTGATTTGGTTGGAATGAGAAGCTGAACTGGTTGCTGATGCAGTTTTTGAGATTGCGTATCACGCTTCCCACAGATGCCTTGAATTGTGGCTTTCGCTGTCTATCGCGAGGGCATGAATTAAGTCTTGCTTTTCCGAAATATTTGGTGTTGTTGGAATTTCTGAGTGAAGCACCAGAGCAATCGCTAACACCTCGAACAGCAGTTATCACCACCAGCCATTTGGGGGGACGCGCAGTTTGAGTCTAGTTGCGAATAGTTGGGACAATGAACGATTCCGCCCAAAAAAGAAGCCCTCAAAGGAACACGGAGACGCATCAATTTGAGAACATCCTCAAATCAGGATCACAAAGCACAGAACCCCAAAGCAAACTATGTGACACAGAAACCCAGAATTGCAGCAAGCAAGCAAATTCACAGACCAATTGGATGAAACACAGTACAAGTTGGGACCGCACACTACAGGAATTTGGATCTTCTGGGGCGCTAGGGTGACATCTGCGATTTGGAGCCAAAACGCTTTTCCGGGTAGCATTTATACCGTGGCTTGGCGCACCGATGGTGCTCCCAGGCAACCATTCCATGGCGGCGGCCCCACTCCTTTGCCAGGCACGCTGCCAGGAGCCACGTGCAGCTTCTCATGACGCACTCTCCCGGATCATTCAATCGGAGTCCATGAAACAGCATTGAGGTATGACTGGTTTGTTCTTGGTTTCCCCGGCATGCTATCTTGGCTTTGGTGGCAATTATCTTCGAGAACGCTCGTGGCATGTTAGCTTGACTGTTGGCATTTCCTCAATTTGTAGAAAGCATTGGTGCCCTAACAATGCGCTATAATCACACCCAAGGATCTCATGAAGCAGACTCTCAGACGAACGACTGTGAGTTGGCATTCAGTTTGGTTTCAGTTTTGAAACCCCATTTGCGCAGCGAGCAGACCAAGCTGACCAAGGAGAAGCCCTCCACCCGTTTGAAGCCCCTCAAGCACGACCAAATGATTGGCTGAGTCTTTGTGCTGGGGCTACTTTAGGTTCATTTGGCCGTCGGCGAAACGTCTTAATGGGTCAAGGCCAGGGTTGGGCGAAATTGGAGAAACCTTTCAAAGTGAAGCCGCAGGGGCATGCTTCAACCACTGGGTGAAAACCAAAGGAGCCTCACAGCAGAAACCTTTGGTTCGAAGGGAAGAAAGCATGCTTCCTCCCCGCTTACTCATTCCGGGTTCCACGGTTGTCTTCGAAGGGTCAACGTGGTTGAACAGGTTGCGCCAACTGAGGTAGTCAAGGCGTGTAGCTCTTTCAGCAGGCAGTTTTTCCTTTGCCCACCCGAGTCAAGCTGAATGAGCGTATGAGGGGACAGGCATTTGTACCACCCAATGCCAGCAAGTGAGCAAGTGGGAGTTTCTCAACATAGATTTCGGACCTTTTGGACCCCCTTTTCATCTTCTGGTTGGCTTCTTTTTCGGTGACACCAAACGGACCACCGACATCCGTGGAGTTCCGACTCCCGGAACTTGGACGCTGACGCTGTCGCCTCGTCATCGCGCTTGCGTTAAGTGCCAGGCCTCCTGGAAGCGGATGAAGCAGGCATCGAGGCGCTGTGCTACTCCTCGCTTCGCCAGGAGCGGTTGGTTTGGTGGCAGCCACTGCTTCAGAGTCCCAACCATCGCTGGGTTGACCCCTCTTGACTCTTTACATGGATAGGCGCTGCACTGCGACGGACCCTTGAGGGCAGGGAAGAGTCTGGACCCCTCAAGTACGGAGAGTTGATTGCGACTCACTTGGCATGTTGCGCACCGGCCAGGCACTTGGTCTGTTTATTGATGATTCAAGAAGGCTGAAGGGGCGGAAGGAAGCGAGGATGGCTGAGCCGCAAGGAAGGCCTGTTGTAGTTTAGAACATCAGCTCTTCCAGAGGGTGGTATCTTCATTCAAATGCTGGTCAGCCTGAAGGCAAGGGTACGGAGCTTGCAGCAAACCCCATTGTTTGGCGCTCTTGACTCCCTGATGCGCAGCCGGTTGAGGCCATTTGCAAAAAGATCAATGTGTTGATTAGCGACTTCTAGACATGATCTACTTGGGACAAGGCAAAGCTCAAGACCATTCCTTCGGTAACCTTTGACAACCAATCATGGATCACTGGAAGCTCAAGAACAAAGTGCCACTGCATTGGGCCAAACCAAACTTTTTTTGGGGGAGTCTTGTCCCCGAAAGCCAAGGCAAGACACGTGACAAGGGCAGGAAACAACGCGCCCTGCCATTTTTAAGCTACTGTGGAATTCCTGAGTAGACAGCAAGTGTGCCAACGATGAACCGTGACGGATCGCTTTAACAACAGCTACTCAGAAACGGCTGCGTATTTTTGCCAAATCACCTTTGTGCTGCAGTGGTGTCCTTTCAGCAGCAACCAGCAACACATTCAGACGCAGTTAGAACAGACGATCACACAAAAGAAGGCATGAGCAGACAAACAAACACCTAACCAACCAAACAAACAAACACCTAACCGACTAATCAAACAACACAACACCAACCAACCCAATCAATCAGACAAACAAGCATCCAACCAACCTAACCAAATTTAGCAACCAAGCAACCAACCAACCAAGCAAGCAAACATACATCCATACAAACATACAAACAATCTATGCCAAATGTCCCAGGAGATCCTGGCATCGAGTGATCAGCTGGGAAACCTGCAGGCAGGAAGATCGAGCCCTTCATAAACTTTTCAGGTAAAGATGCTCGGAAGTTCACTGGGGGTGCGGGATTTTGACCAACGGCCGTTTATTGAGAACCAACATGCTCAACGGTGCTCCCACTGGATTGACATGCGCTTGTCGGAACAGGGGAGCCTCCAAATTGGGTGTTTTTTTTTGGGGGGTTTTCTTTTAACATGAGCCCCACAAGAGTACCCTCGGGAAAAGGACCTTCCTATAGCAGCGGCTGCTGTCCAGGTTGAGGGCAAGAGGGTATGGCAGGCAAGCATGAGAGTATAAGCGCGGTTTAGGTTGCAGTCCCTTTCCGAACGGGCTTCAAAACGCGACAGTTCGTTCTGCCTCTTTGCGAGTGCCTCTATGCCTTCCTTTGTTGCCAATTGGGTTGTGGAGCCAGAGACCTGTGTTACACTCCAAGGAACAAAAAGCAGAAACACACATAAATATATATACATATATATATATAATATACACATAGTTTCGGATACATTCATAAGTGGAAAACCAGCCTGCCAAGCCTCGGCCCACAAGCGCCTCGAGCCTCCTCTTCAGCCTTCGCACAGGTGTGGGATGCGCAGGCGCTGCGCCACAGCTGCCGCTTTCTGGGGGCGCACAGAGGGTCTGTGCCGGGGCCCCAATTGCAGGGAGACGGGCAGATGGAATGGCTCGAACTGCGGGACCCTGGTCGTTTCTGGATTGGTTCAATCGCAAGCAAACAAGCATCACTTGAGGGAGGGTGATGGCCAATGTGGTTTTTGATGGTCGTGAGCGGATGCCTGTAGTGTATAGTGGATGCACGTGTCAGTGCCCACGTTTGGCGGAGCCTGCGTGACGGACTATACGGAAAATACGCATTGTTTCTTTTTCAGAGCTTCCTTTGCGCAAGAACTGGCCGAGCCTGACATGCACCGTTGTCCAGTTCTTTGCCTTGTTGTTTTGTTTTGTATGGCTGGTTCTGCTACATAGCTTTTGATTGGAGTGCGGGGGCGTGCGGACACACCAAAACCTTTTGCTCAAAGGGCAGTGATTTTTGTTGAGCGCCTCGCAGAGCTGTGGTCGAATGCCTGAGGCGCGGCTTGTCCTTTTCCACCCAGAACAGCGACCTGCTCATCTCCGGGGGGGATGATGCCGAGCTCATCTTCTGGGATGTGAAGTGCCTTGGCTGAGTGCGCTTAATGTGTTTGCACTTTTATCCAATTGCACAAGCACGTGGTTTGCACGGCAGCTGTCCCTTGGCATCTCCAAGGAATTCGAAGCAAATCCAGCAGGCGGGGCTTGAAGACGTGAGAGCTGCTCCTTTGCGCAGCTCGCCAGGTATCCGTTGAAAGCGGCATTACCTCTCTCTCCTACCATTCAGGCCCGGAAGGAGACTTTGAGGTGCTGTTATTCCAATCCAATGGTTTGGGACAAGACGAAGATATGTGTGCGAAACAGTGGACATGCTGTGCTGTATGAATTGGCTTTCTTGTTTGCTCCAGTCAAGTCTATCCTCAATGAACTCGATGCCTGGCTCACATCGTTTGAAGGTGCGTTTCAAGCCGGGCAAGTCTGGGGGGATAGCGGTTGATCAAGTTTGTTTTGCCCCAGCTTGATTTGTCCGGTTCCTGGAAATTCCTGGTGATTCAATCGCCTCAGGCTGCTTCATTTGGGGCGCTGTTCGAATTCCATTGCGGCTGGCTGTGGTTTCCGTGAACTGGTTTCGACCGATGCACAGGGGGCTACTTGCTCGCCAGCGGCATGGAGGATGGCGCCGTGCTGATCTTCGACCTACGTGGCTCGGATGAAACCCCAAACCCTGAGCCCTAAATGCGCCTTGCGCCTGTCAAAGCGGTCTGCCTTGGAGAAATGGCAAGGAGGTTGGTGTAGCGAGCTTGGAGAAATGCAGCTTGTTGGTTCAGCGAAGCACGTGGGCTTTCTGCAGGCTCTTGGCTCGGAATCAGTTGGTTAGCGGGCTGCTGCAAAGTGGCAGCTTTTGATTTGGCAGCTGCCAATCACGTACCAGAAGACCTGACACTTGACAGGCGCAGCCCAATCAAATTGCACTAGTTGATAGTTCAAGGGCCAAGACTTCCATTTCTTGCGTTCCAGCTTTGTCGTTTTGCTGTGGCCCAAGTCTGAGGTATGCTGGCCCGGCACTGAGAGGCACGAGGATTCAACAGAGGCCCATGGACTCATCAGAATTTGCCAAGTGGACCGGAGACCAAAAGCACAGCCAGCGAAGTGCACAGCTCACAGGAAACGTCCTTGAAACCAGGAGACGAGATCGATGGATACATAGGGCGGATGGACAAAGTCCACTTTGCGTCCAGCATTCATAGGGCATCCATTCCAACTGCTTCCAGAAGTGCGTGCCCGAGGTCTCCAAGAAGCAGCCTGCGGAGCCCTTGCAACGCTTCACTGCACATGAGGGAGGCGCGCAGGCGTTGTGGGAGGACATGGATCCGGGATAGCTGCAAGCATCATCTTAAACCTGAGCGACACTTTGGCCCGGATGGCGCGATGCTAGTCCGATCGACATGTGTGCTCATGCGGAAGCAATCGCCCGCGAGCTCAAGCATGTCTGCTTCAAACGAGGCATGATGGGTGTGTGGTATTTAGAGATTGTACCCGTCAAGAGAGTTGTCCCTTTGTGTTGTCATTTTCATTCTGCCGGCTCATTTGCCCGCCCCGCAAGTGGGCTCTGCAGGCAACCTCGTAGCACTGGCCTTTGCGCCAGATGACGCCAAGCTGCCAAAGCAGGTGCAGAGACGGGGCGGCCTGCATACTCTATAGGACTTCAAAGCCAAGTGCTTTTTGTTGGTACCCTGCTGACGAGCACTGGTTGACTTTAGCCATTGAAAAGATATTGCCTTTGGTTCTCAAAGCTCTGGATATTGGCCTCATGTCGTGGCTGCGCTATTTGATTGGGCAGAAAAATCTGGCTTGTCAGAGGGCTGTTCAAAAAGGGGATGCCTTTCCGACTCTTTTCACAAGATGGTCATCAACTCTTTGATTGGGACCTTATCAACCTTGTGTCACCCAGCATTGGAAGCATGGAAGGCAAGAAGGCCAGCATGCCCATTATTGGAATTATGGCCATCCAAAGAGTTTTGACATACCACACGTGACAAAGACATCCACCCTCCGTCCGAGTTGCCGATCTCCAAACGGCCAGGCCGTGTCTCCACGTGCGGCTGCAGCAGGCAGGTTGTCCATGCTCCAAAGACAATGCCCCCCCCTCGTCAGAGCCACTTCTGGGATTTCTGGGTGTAGTTGTGGCATAAGTGAGCAACAGTGGAAGAATGTGGTGTTTTGAAGATGCATCGGGCATGGCAGAATGGAAGCATTTGGGCATGACAGTGCTCCATCCCGGCGGACGGTTGTGGCGTTGCCATGGTTCATCCACGGCCTTTGAGAGCGTTGGATTTGCCTTTCCAAATCTATGACTGAGTCCCCCAGTAGTGCCCTTCTACACTTTTTTGGGGGCAGGGTTCCCCTACTAAAATAGACTGCAGCAAAAAGGGTACCCTTCTTCAAACCTCTCTACTGGAGGACCTAGATGATCATTGAGGCGTCCCCCTGCAAGCTATGGCCCAGGCGCCAGTGTTCCCACCTGGCCCACTGTGCGGGGCAGTGGGTCAACAAGCGCATGGGTCCCAGGAACTGCAAACGGGCAATGGGTATGTAGCCGGTGTTCGAAAACGCCAGGACGGTGGAGGCGTTTCCCAGGCTTCCACGATCAGAGAGACTGACGCGCCATTCTTCTTGATTCATGCTCGCTTTCGGAATTCCAGGCACAGCTAGAAGTCTCAAGATTCAGCGCCCCGTTTCGCGGCTGGGACTTTGAGTTGGCTCAAGGACTCGTTGATGCCATGGTGTTAGGGGTCCGGGTCCACGGCCCAGATGTGGTGAATGCGGAGGTGAAGCTGGATGAGACCTTTCGGCCCGTGCCGATTCCAGCAAAGCTGGGGATCCCCGTGCTCTTCAAGGAGTCATCAAGAAATGGGTTTTGCTGAACATTGGGGAGGCACATGGGTTGTTCCGTGTTTCCCTTCCCTTCAACAGAACAAGCAACAAGGGTAATCTCGAAAGGAAAAGCACGCTGAAGTGTTGTTGAGTCAAGGGTGCTCCTTGTCCGGCATTGTTGGCATTATGTTGTGCGTCACAGTCATTGTGCCAGCAAAAGATATGTCGACTTGTTCTGTGTTTGTTTGTTTATATCGACCTTCTTGGCCGACTCCGTTAAGGAGGCCTAAAAGGCCACGAACTCCCACAAACAGACATCTCGATCGCAACACCGCGCAACGCTACACAGCATGGCTGCTGCCCGGCGCCCCTACCTTCTACTCAGGGAGACTCATTGGTGCAACCATGAGCACACGAGAACGTGCAGTTTGCCCCGCTTATTCCCTCTATTTGGGCAATTGCAGTTTCTCGGTGGTGGAGCGATGCCGCAGTGCTTTTCTCGCAATGACGCTGGCATACTAGCGCCGCTAAAGGGGCGTAGTGCTCGGCTAAGGACTTAATTATAGTTGCAATGCTGAGCGTGAATTGCGACAAGCAACGGGCAAGGATGTCTTCAAGGAGCTGCCTGGGGGGTCCACCGGGCGGGTGTGCCGTGTCCCGAACATGACCAACAATGTCCTAAGCAACGTCGTTTCACAGTTCGCATCGGCGGAGAAAACGTGCAAATCAAATGCCAGTCCCCTGATAGGGGGAGTTAAGCGCTGCTTTCTACCAACGCAGAAAGAGGAAAAGGTACAAACATCGCGATTCACGCGAAAGGGTTGGGAAGGTATAACTGCATCCGTTGCCGACTTGTGTATTCGTACAGCTATAAAGCAGGAAGAGTGAAGAGCGTACTTGAACTTATCAAGGGAGGGAAGCGCAATCGAATCCACAGGGAATTGACATGCGCGAAAGTGTTCTAAGATACGAAGGTGTACTTGAGCCCGTTGCGGATTTGTGCATTCGTGAAAATTATCAACGGCAGGCAAATGGCTGATGGTTGTTTTGGTGAGTTGGGCATGTGTTGTGGGTGCAAGTAAACCTGCCGGAGACACGCGTTCGAAGAGACGAAGGTTTGATTGAGCCTGTTGCACATGTGTGCATGTGTAAAGATGCAGGTAGCAGGCAAAGGTGTAATTGAGCTTGCTGGGGAGGTGTTGGAGTATGGCTAGAAAAGGAGGGGAAGTACAACTACCCCTGCCAGGAATCGGTTCCCGCGAAAGTGTTTGCAGAGCAGGATATGCAATTAAATCCGGTGCGGGCTTGTGCGTTCGTAAAGTTTGTCAGTGGGAGGTATCCAGCAGCTGAAGTTGTTCCGGGAATCGGTTTACACCAAAGGGTTTGAAGCGAGCAAAGTGTCATTGAACCCGTAGTTGAATCCATCGCGGATTTGTGCATTCATGAAGTTTATTAGTAGGGGGAGGAAGTGAAATTGAGCTCGTTGGGGAGTTGGGTGTGCACCATGGCTAGAAGCGGGGGAATTGTGAAAAAGCACGAAGAGGAACAGGGGCAACTGAACCTGTTGTGGATCTTGACATGTACGAAGTTTGCAAGTAGGCTAGGAAGGCTTCATTGCATGCGCTGAAACAGACAAAATGCGTTGTGGCTAGAAGATGACGATAGGAAGCGGTGCTCGAACCCGTTCAGGTTTGTGCTTTCTTGAAGTTTAACGGTAGGACAGGAAGAGTGTACTTGAGCTCGCGCTTGGGTTCTGGCTGGAAGAAGAGTGAATTGAGCTACGCACCTCTCAAACCTTGAGCCTTCCGGTTTCTCCAAATTTGTTTTTGGTGGCCTCAACCATTGCCTTCTCCCTTCTCCAAAGTGAGTCTCCCCTCAAATGACCGGTTTTTTGGCCGCAAAAAACAACCGTGCTGCATCTTCCAGGCCCAGCCGGGCACTGGTGGGGACGACTCCCACATCCGCAGCAGCGCCATCGTGCGGTTCATGGCGGACACCGACGGCCTGGCGCCCATGGAGTGGCAGTACGGGGGCGACCGAGGGCCCGCCCCCCCAGTGGTGCTGGCGCGGAAGGACCGGCTGCCGCTCTCCAGCCAGGACTTCCGCCTCATCTGCGGCTCGGATTGCTACACCTGTTGGGAGAGGGGGGAAAGGGACAAGCTTTGAGGAATTCGTCGAATTACAGTCCTTTGCTGTGGATTGCTTCGTCCAGGAGTTGTGTGTGTGTGTGTTGGTGTGTGTTTGTCTCTGTGTGTGTGTGTGTGCGCCTGCGTATGTGTTTCTATTAATCTACCAGCGTTTGTGTGGGTAATTCCCAACACGTTTGTATCCTAAAGGGAAGGACCCACTGTTTTCCCCTTGGTTTCTCTGTGGCGCCTCTCTCTCGTGCCGAAAACGCGACACGCCCGCGGATCTGCGGATGCGCGAGGCAAGTACATGAGCTACTGGATGGAGGAAGCCGAGGAGGCAGAGGAGCACATGACGGAGGTGTCCAACCGCATCTTAGAGCCCAACGCCTTCCAGGCGAGGGATACCTTCAAAGTGCGGGGTTCGGAACGGGGAAGTGGTATGAAGCATGGCAAAATGTCTGTAGGTTGACATAGCCCTACTTGGACACAGAACTGTATGAAGACACACAGGCACAACGCATGATTGCAGCATGATGCTTATGATGCTTGCCTGCCAGGCGTACGTGCGCGAACATGCGGAGGACCGGAGTGCTCAGGCCAGCAAGCACAAAATAAGGCTGAGACTCACTCGCCAACGACAAACCACGGACTTGGTGAAAGGAGCGAAGCTGGCAAAAGGAGATGATCACAACTGCTCACTTAGAGCCCAAGCAGTGGGTCAAACCTCATGGCCAACAAAGTACCCTCTCAAAACATGTTGGTTGCCCTTTGCCACTGCTATACACCGCCAGAGTGACAACTTATAATTTCAGCAGACAAACCAAATCATATTCACCGGCTTTCTTTGGCTCAAACAATCGACGAGTGCTTGATGATTTCTGATCTCAACACGATGGTTGTGCCGTGTTTGACCGGCAGCTCCTGCGCTGAGTTTCCGTCAGGCGACAAACTCCGAACTCCCAACTCTTAGTGTTTTGGGGACTATGACCATAGCTTGGTCACTTTCAGCTGTGTTCTAGTCATGTACCAGTCCACTTTCCAGAAGGGATGAGGCCAAACCCGCGAGGAGCATCCTTTGGCCTTCCTCTCGTTGCAGTTCCCGCTGCGGAGCACAGTTTTAGCCGATGGGCTGGAGGCTTCAGATTTGACACGTGGCCGGAGTGCAAGAACGTTCGCCGCACATACACCCCACGGAATGGGGGTCCCAAGTTGAAGGATCATCTCTCGGTTAGGGCATCCCTGGTAGTCAACCAGGGGGCTCCCCAGAATGCCGAGGTTAGGTTGGTTGGTTGCTGGATGGATGGTTGGTTGGCTGGCTGGGTTGAACATCACGAGCTGCCCCTGAGGCTGATGTTGTACAAGAGGAAACCCAAAAGTGACCCGCAAAGAGACAAGTTGCGACAAGACAAGCAATTTGTAGAATCATGAATCCTGCCAGCAGCTAGACGTCATCCATGTGTGTGTGTGCCGCAGTGCACCGGCGTAGGGAAGCCCCCATAGCGGTGATATTTGGGTGCATGGGTCAAAATGGTTCAGATCTCTGATTAGTTGCTGAGGCTTGGTTTGTTTGCAACACAAGCGCAGAGGTGTGAAAGACACAAGTTTCAGGGAAGCCGCCAATCGGATGGTGTTTGAAAGGCCACCAGCAGGAAGCCAGCCAAAGGGAAGAAGCGGGAACTTGATCCCGCGTTGGGTTTCGACGGTGCACCTCTAAAGGGGGTGATTCAGATTCAGATCTCATCCCAGACATCCTGAAATCTTCTAGCTCCCATTCTGCATGCACGTGTTTCTTTCCATATAGCGCATGTGGCAGCAAAGTCCCTCCAAAATCTTCGGCGCACATACGTCCAATGTAATGTCACAATGTAACTGATGTCCAGCGAAGCGTCCCCAATTTGAATTATGTCCCCTATGGCACAAAAGGCTGGGCAAATGAGGCATGCCTGAATTGATGAGTGTTCAGATCATAGGTGCGTGCCCTTCTAGTTCAGCTTGGACAAAAAATATTGCAGCAGTTGGTCGTTGGTTGACCCAACTCACACTTCAGTTTGGACCAAGAATCTTGCAGCAGTTGGTCGTTGGTGTATCCAACTGACACTTCAGTTTGGACAACACATCTTGCAGCAGTTGGTCGTTGCTTGACCCAACTCACACTTCAGTTTGGACCAAGAATCTTGCAGCAGTTGGTCGTTGGTGTATCCAACTGACACTTCAGTTTGGACAACAAATCTTGCAGCAGTTGGTCGTTGGTTTACCCAACTGACACTTCAGTTTGGACAAAACATATTGCAGCAGTTGCTAGTTGGTTTATCCAACTGACACTTTAGTTTGGACAAAAATTATGGCAGCAGTTGGTTTTATTGGTTTATCCAACTGACAAACAAGAACGACCCCCCCGTGGTTCGGACAAAATCTTGCAGCAGTTGGTCGTTGGTTTACCCAACTGACACGAACGAACGAACGACCCCCCCCGTTCGAGGAACGGGCAGCAGGGCGAGGTGGTGGACTTCACGCGGGACCGGGTGGGGGTGGAGTTCCCCGATGCCAAGCGCTGCGCCCTGCGGCCCTGCAAGCTGAAGCTGCAGCGGGAGCCGCCGAGCGAGCGGGAGCCCAAGGCCAAGCGTCCGGCGCTGGACAAAGAGGAGCTGGTTGGACGGTGAAGTCCCGTTTAAGGTGGAAGGCCTTTGAGTTTACGTCTTTGTGTTTGTTTTCGTTTTTTTTGGTTCCCCCCTTTTTTCCCGCTTTTTTGAGGTAGTTCAAGGATGTTTGTATTTGCTAGTAGTAGTGAAGGCTGGTGCTGCTGCTGCTGCCGCCTTGATCTGTGATTTGCCTTGTGCCTTGTTGGTGTTGGGGCACGTTGGGGTTCTGGTTCTTCTGGTTATTCTGGTTCGTTGGGTTTGTCGGGTTGTTCTGGTTCTTCGGTTTCTTGAGCGGTCGTTGCATGTCTTTGAGTGTTCTCATGTTGTATTTTCCTTGTTTGCATGGCAGTACGAATATGTTAAGTTTACAAGCAAACCATTCACACCCCAATTCAGCACGCCACTTCAAGGCTATTCAGCGAGCTTCCAGGCATCTAAACATCTCAACCAGTGAAGGAGCGGAAGAAGGAACTGGAGAGACAGGAGGCGCTGCAGATCGCGAAGCGATTCCACGAATGCCTCTTTGAGGACACCTTCCCGGAGATGGGGGATCTGCATTTGTTCGGGGTGGGTTGCGATTACAAGGCCAGGGCCACCGAGGTGCTTGCGGTTTGGCAGGGCTTGGTGAAGCACATGGATTTCACCGCCGAGCAGATCGCGGAGGCCCTGATCCAGGGCAACATGAAGGAGCGCTTCACCGAGTGGACGCAGAAGTTGGCGGAGTCTCGTACACCCAACTCCACCTATGCCACAAACCTGATCGCTGCACATTTTGCGGCAACAGAGTGGGATGAGCTTTGAGAGACCCCATTCGCAGTTTTAAGCTGATTGGCCAGAAGTGCCTTATAGATGACAGATGCCGGAAGTCACCTTGTCACCTAATTTGTTTCTCATTCTGCGGGCATCATGGCCGTTGGAACTTATGAGCTTATCCATGATGGTTCGTTGTGATGGTTTGCTTCAGGTACCTTGTTGTTTGTTTGCCTTTTTCTTCCGGGTGCACAGACAATCTCCCCACATTCCGCGAGCTTGGTTTTGGCCCTTGGTGACGTTCTTGCACCTGCCTACGCCTACCGCTCAACTGAGCCATAAACCAACCGAATCGACGCCGCCGCCGTAAAGTGGGGCCCGGGGCGCTTCGCCGATGCTCATATTAGGATGCTACGGGCATTCCTTATTTTGGATAGGTGTCCTTACGATCTGAAGAGTCAACAGGGCAAGTATCCTAGACCAGATGACCGGTACCATCTGGTACCACAAGGTGCATACACATTTGACTTGCGGCTTACGTCGCCTGCTTTCATTTTCATTCATGCCTGAGTGTGGCAGACAGCAGTTTCGCGTGTAAGGACCACCTGTGAGATATCGACTTTGTTATATCCCCCTCCCAACAAACAGAATGGTTGTTTTCCTTTGAATCCCAAGAAGCAGTGGCTCAATTGGGGTTGAAGGCCTAAGTTTGTTGACCCATCTGAGGTCAAGGCCGAGTCTCTGGAGGCTCCAAGGGTGGCTCGGGTTTTGGAAGGGGCCCAAGCTTCAGCCGTGCTGTTGTGATGCTGGGCCATGCCGTCGCAGAGGTTTCATGATGAGCATGTTGCGTGCTGGGCAACTGGTCACAACCTCAGGCCCTCAGGCCCAGAAAAAAGCAGACGTTCTGCCTGACAGAGCCCGTATTATAACCTGTCGAGCAGACAGGCATGGCCCACTTGATCGCTCACGCGGGGCCGTGAAGTTGTTGAGCACAGCACATGCACGACTTTTGGCGATCACTCAGCGTGCTGCATTGGGTGGGGTACATATGCTTTTAATGCCATGTGCTCCATGTACTCCTTGTGGCCTTTTACTTTCCCACATCCGGTGCCGAGACTCGTGCCTCGGTTTTCGTTCTTGGTTTCCTTGGGGCCGCAGGAGGTGCCCAGCTATGCCACACTGGAGTCCATCATGGACAGGCCGGGAACTCGCAAACTTTGTTTCAGTTGTCCCGCTGTCGGAAAGGTAGCCTCCAAAAGAGCATTTGAATGAATTCTCTTCGTAGTCTCTACGGAGAAAAACAAACGCCTCTTTTGGGATGTGATCTTCATGTAGCCTGCAACGTCTTAAAACTAGAGGATTCCATTTGCTTTGCACAGAACTTACACAGTTGCTGACGCATTTAGATGCGCCTCTCCCCATCTCTTCCTTGCTTGCATATGGATCTGTGAAACATGAGCAAGTGAGTCTACATGAGGCTGTTATTTTGGGGCATACGTTGGATTCTCCGCTCACTTGTTGCCCGGTCATTTCACCTGAGCCTTCAAACATCGCAAGTGACTAGTTGGGAATCCCCCGCCGAGGCTGTCGAAGAGAGCCGTGCGGTCCTGAGAGTTGGTCGCCAGCGTTTTTGTGGTACGTTCGGCGAATGCTTTTCCACGGGTTTGCATCTTGTGGTTTGTTCCAACACTCAGCTATTGCTTGGGTTCTGGAAGGTTTGTGGCGAAAGCTTGGAGTTGTTCCGGGCAGATGTCAGAATCAGGGCAAGACAAACAATGATCAGACACCCTGTTATTCCACTCAAGATGCTTGCCCCTTGAACTGTTGTTGAAGGAATTCGGCGTGAGGACTACTATGTCATGCCTGTTTGTATGGTTCGTGCATTTAGCATAATCTTCCTTTTGAATGTGGCATTCTGGCCGTACATGAGCATTATTTGTATTTGGGTTGTTGTGCCGGATTCAACAATGACTCCCAGCGAAGCTTCAAGCTGTGTCCATCATTCATCTCTTTGACTTTGGGGCTAGGCATGTGGAGCCTTGGGCCTGGGGTTGCATCTTCAACTTCCTGCAAGTTGAGGTCCCGGATGATGCGTGCGCCCCCCAGTCTGTAAATCCTGGGACGAGATACCTTTAGCTTTAGTCCATGAGCCAACTTTGATTTAAACCCTGTGAGGCAACTGGCCTTTTGAGCTATTCTTTACTTGCTGCCTGCCCCCAGCAAGAGCTTTCTCAAGTGGGTTGTCCAACCCAACACGTATAAGTAAGTGGAAGAGAATCAACGCCAACATGCATTCATGGAACTGAAGTGATTTTTGATTGAATACTTGGTTACGCTCTTTCGTGATCTCCATTTATGGAAACACGGACTTGAGTTTCAAGAGCGAAGGCGTGGTGAACTCGTTAGCGAAGGCGTGGTGAACTCGTTAGCACCATGAACCTGGTACTGTTTGAGCCAAAAGCAACTCACATGTTCAACTGCCGAGGAATACTAGACAAATGGAGTGAACAAAAGGTTGGCCTTTCATTTTCGGGGGGCGGTTGGCTTGGTTTGCTGGTTTGCCAATGTCAGGGCCAGCACTCACAGCGCTGATGGCAGGACTGAGCGGGATGGCGGGATGGCGGGAGGGGGCTCCAGTCATGGGATGCCCGTGGCAACCAGAAATGCGGCAGACTTACTTTCCATGCCGGTAACCCAGCGATCCGCCATTTGAATACCCATACAAAACCGAGAGCAAAGTGTGGACGCCAGAGATCCGGCCAACGGACTTTCCATTCCGGCAACCTGCCCAAGTGCTCAACACAGAAACCCAATTCCTGATTCGCTTGGTTTCCCTTTAATCCTTCAATGCAACCCGCAAAGGTACGTGCACCAACTCCAACAAGACCCAACAGGTTCAAACCTTGGCTCCAACTGATTCACCGTCTATGCGTACAACGGATCGAGTTTGGGCACCAGATGCAACAGCATAAAATCCTAGCTGTGATGTGAAAGGTATCATACGGATGAGGAATAAAATGGCATGCCTCAATGATGGCTGCTTCAGTACTCGGCTGGACGCCTTTCAGGATTTGCCCAAATTACCGCCAACCGGTTTAAAGACAAGACTTGCAAATCGGATTGCAAAACCATTTACCAATAGAGATTGTTCATTACGATTGGCCATCCTTCATGTATCAGAGCCACATTAGTTTTAGTCGGACCCACCTGCAGTTTGTTCTGTTGGGTTTCAAGTGCAGGATGGATCACCGTTGACCCTTTTCGAGGTCCATGCCGGAACCATGCTTCATGTGAGCTGCAAACATGTGGCCGTGTCATGGTTCCTTTCTTTTGTTAGCTAGAGTTCCCTTTGAAATTATTTAAACAAATAATAAAGAAAGGGCGCCTGCTTAATTAAAAAAAATACATGTGTGTATACATATATATATATATATATACATAAAAGCAGGGAGATCCGCTGGAGTCTTGGGCTCTCGCCTGCAAGCTTTCGCGCAAGGACTCCTTTGAGCCCATGGCCAGGGAGCTCTCAGGCTTCTGACGCGTTCGCGCGCGTGTGTCGCGTCAGCAGGCTGGCTGTCGGTCTATTGGTGTCCTTTTGGGTCCGGTTGGTTGAAAGTCGCTGGCTTCCAGGATTCCACTGTTATCAGCTATCAGTCTGGTTCTCATGATTTACCAGTGCCAGCATTTGCCCAAGGACTTGTGCTTGCAGGGCCAAGATGTATTGTGTTGAAGCAGGAAGTCATCTCAGGCGGTTCTGTTGCATCATGTTGGCAAGCCTCAAACCTTGCACGCCTGGTGAGCGCGTGGCAGACAGATGTATATGTGTTCGAAGGCAAGAACACAGACCAAGGACCTTGGACAAATGACCCATCAGTGGAGCATGACAGCCTTGACCGACTTTCAGCAACAAAGTTCTTATTGTTATGATTGCTAATTGCTATTGAATGCTATCTTAGTTATGTTCAACCAGAATTGCTCCAAGTATCACTGCAAATTTGCAATGTCAGGATTTATTGCACCGACCAAGCCGCAGGCCAAAGTGCCTCCGCTGCCTGGGCGCGGGAGCTTACCTTGCCGCCTGTTTGGTGCAGCTCAGTGGCACCGGCTCTTCGCCTCGCGTTTCATCGGGTTCTCCACAGCCAAGAGGACTTCATGACTTGTGCACCGCGGTGCGTGTTTACCAACTTGAAGGCTGCAAGGACTGTGACAGTCAGAGCAGAGCTCAAGAGGCATGGTTTTTTGGGAAGGCGTGCTGCTGGTCTGAAGATTGATTGCTGGGAGCAGGACACAGATGCGCACTTAACTTAGATGGCTGGAATTTGAAGATTGCAGAGCGTCCAACGCCCCAGCAAGAAAACACCGGATATGGAAACGCTCGGCTTTCGGTAACAGGGACATGTATAACAAGGGATGTTTCTTGGTTTCGGGGTAAGTATCCTTTGTAAACATGAAATCAACAGGATGCCAGCCACTTAAAAGGTGAGTAAAAGTACCGGTTTCCCTTTGCTTTTTCCTTATCACAACCAAGCAACGGTTCACTCAGAACAGACACCCAACATGAACGCAGACTCAGCAACCCGCTGGCTCGCACCCGAGGCCGGCTCGGGAGCTGCCAGCCGGAAGCACAGCCAGCCGGGTGGGGAAGGTGGAGATGAGTGATGCCGGGCCTTTTTTTTCAGAAACATGGAAGTATGAGTACGCAAGAACGCGCATCTTTCGCACGCGGCCACGTGTGTGTGTGTGTGTTAATATGTATGTGTTGTTTGCTTAGGTGCCTGGTTAGCTGAGCGACTGCATGTATTTACAGGAGACTCAGTCAAGGCCGCGGAAACATTTTGTGGGTAACATTCTGAATCAGGTGCAAAACAAGGTAGGAACATCCCTAAATGCTGTGGATTTCTTTGGAGATGCGGCTATATGAGCTGTGTGACACCTATTGTCCTACAGCAGCTTGCTGTGTCCCTCAACCGCAGGGCAGTATCCGCCTGGGTGTGTCCTGTTTGAGGTTGCCCCAGAATGGCTGAGTGAACCTATTTTGCAACACAGCCTCTCCGAGGACACACCGCAAGATAGCCGCAAGAGCCAGGCGCGGAAGTTGGCACACACCCGTATGCAAAATTGATAAACTTTTTTGGGGGATAGTGGGACCGGGGGGATTCTTCACTTTTTGAGGACATAGGGAAGGAACAGGCGGCCGGAAGGAAACGGATCCCAGATCAGCAGGTTCTTTGCTTTGCCTTTGAATGTGCGGCTGCGACACACCGCATCTCGTTGAAGGGGCTTGTCCAAGTTTGCCAACCTGCTGTGGCAGAAAGAAAGAAATATACACTGAGGACTTGGAGCAAACAAGTTGATCAACTCCTCCTTCACCAATCCTGTTGGCATCATCGGAGCCCACTTTGTACCCGAGCCTTCCTCTTGTGTGACTGGGTTTACAAGTGGATGGCTCCGACTATTGAAGCAAAGGACAAAGGTGCCAGTTCCACACACACACAAAAAAAAAAACAACGCATCGAAAGGAGTCAGTGTCCAAACAACATGACCGTCAATTACACATGTCAGAAAGCGTGGGGTGTGCCTTCAAACCATCAAACGCAGTTTCGCCGTCTGGATCTGCCTAACACCTGGAGCCCAACATCAGGGGTTGCTAAGTCTTCTGATCATGATCGTTGATTGCCACTGGAGCACCTGAACATGAAAATCCCAACTGTGCCCGTAAAAGTAGTTTTTCAGAGGCAGGCAACCCCTTTCTTGACTTGAGATTGCATGGTCCAAAGTGGACCATTGGCTTCGACGCTTCCATAGTTCTCTCCAGTTCTGCAGGAATCACTTCTTGTGATTGAGCTTTTGGTCCCAAGGTGCTTCGGGGAACGTCGCGCAGGTGCCTAGATACAGCATCGGCAGCCCGTTGGACACAGCTCAGCCCCCAGAGGACACTCCCGATGTTCAGGCACAGCTTGCTTCCGCTTCCCCATGTGAGATGTTGGCCATATTGGGCCCACACAAAAACAGTTTCCCTTGAGCTTCCCTCGAAACCAACCCGACATCCAAGAGGTGCCCAGACAGTGGTCTCCCTTTAGCTTCCCTTCAAGTAATCTAACCCAGCATCCAAAAGGTGCCCCCCCTCAAAAAAGACAAAAGACAAAAACAAAAACAAACAACACACAACAAAAGGAAGGAACCATCCAAACCCAAAAAAAAGGCACCCGGAATATTTGTTGGGTGGGCGATTCCGAGAAAAGCCATGGCCGAGGCAAAGCCGGAGGCCGCTAGCCCGTGGTGGAAGCAGGTTGCCGAGATGGACGGGGCCTCCAAAACGCCCAACTGGGTATGGGTCAAAATTAGTCACCAGGAGTCGGACTGCAGGTTTGAATGTCCATGTTTCCATTTACCAGGGCAAGCCATTTTGGGGTTTCCCTATTTTTGACCAGCCAAATCACCAGTGGGGAGATGAAGGTCTCAGTTGTTCAGTGGCACCCTTTTTCCATTTTCGTTGGTGGCTGCCCCACTAAAAATGGCTTTCCCCAAAAAGGGTTCCCTTTTGTTCCAGCGTCACTGAACGACTAGGTGGGATTCTTGTTCCATGGGTTCGACCTAGTTGATACCCGGTTTCTCATTATGACTCGCCAGGTGACTGAGGATGTTTGTGTTGGTTGACGGGCGAGTGGGATTTCGGCCAAGCTTTGGATGCGTGCCCACAAGCTGCACTCATGACCAGGAGCCCAAAGCGGCAGAACGGGAAGACGAGTCGCCGGTTGGATGCTGAGAGAGGCAGGCCAGGCTTGGTGGGTTTTCGATGTGCAATTTCCCCGGAATAGCTGGGTTTTCGATGTGCAATTTCCCGGAATTGCATAGCTGAGGGAGTAATATCAGAACCATGCCAGGCTCAAAGCAGCGTGGCGGCGGTTTTTTGCGCGCATCTGCAATCCCCAACGGGAAAAGCTCACCACAAAAAATCACCGGGGAAGCAAATGGATCGAGCGCTTTGGTTCCCCAAGGCTCAGGGAGGGTCGGCCTTTTTTCGGCGTGTTTTCTCTCGAGGTCAAGGCGGCAGACCCGCCAGCAGAGGCGCTCCAGCCGCACCTTCCAGTGCGCATCGCCGGTATTCTGCCATCATGTGTAAGTGCTCTCCTATGCTTGCTTCTTCTAGGCTATTTGAGTTACACGTCATGTGCCAGCCATAAAATATGTGTTTCAGGCTGATGTCGGCGATGCTTGTAAATTATGCTGTTGTTGTTAGCAATGGTGGCGATTGCTTCATGCTGCATCGTGGTGGCTGTGGTGGTCCAGAGACACTAAAATTGATGATGCGGAGGCAAACACAAAAATGAGGCTGACAACAGCCCACGCTGACAGCCCACGCTGACAGCCCACGCTGACAACAGCCACGCCGAAGGGATGGCCTCCGCAGGTGCTCCAGCCGCTGCTGGCGGCATTGCGAGAGGACTTCAAGCGGGAGCTGCAGGAGGCGACACGCCCCGAAATCGATTGGATGGTGTGTGTGTGTGTTTTCTCCACGTGAATGTGCCGTTTTTGGTTGAGGGAATCGGGTCTGAAGTGAAAGCAAAAAAAAAGGACACCACCGGGTCACCGGGTCTCGGAGCCGAATTTCAGACCCGCCTTTGGAGCTGGTGCCCTTCTCGTTTCTCCCCGTCTCGCTAGGCTCAGCTGGCCATGATGGAGCAGAACTTCCGGCTCCACGCAGAGCTGCGGAAGGCGAGCGACCGAAGCGGTTCGAGGCTTTTGGCGCTGAATTCGCTTTTTCAGCGGGAGAGAGGGTAGTTTGTTGTGCCTAGGCGAGGGGTGCTCAAATTCCATGCTTCAGCTTCAGGGATTAGTTTATCCCATCTGACCTCGGCCCCTTGCCAGACTCAAGTTGAGGTTTTGGTTCCTTGATGTCCCCGTTGACCGGCACGTCAACTTGTTGCCGACTTAGCTAACTTGTTTGCATGTTGTTCTGCGCCAGTCTGGCCCGATGTTGGTTTTGGACCCGATCTTTCCCTTTTGACCAGCACGTCAACTTGCCGCAGGTCGGATGTGTTTGTCTCCAAAGGGAGGGTTTTGGACCCAGCTGGAAGACTGCATGGCCCCCCCAAGCTTTCTTTCGCGCCCACCCCCCCCCCCCCCGGTATTTTTGCCAAGTGATTGGGTTCAGGATGTTGAGTCATAGTGGTTCCCCATGTATATTAAATATGTTTGTTGAATGATTCGGCTCAGGATGTTGGGGCTTCAGAATTTGGAACACCCGGTTGAGTTGCGGTTTTCAAGAGCCACTCGCCCGGCTGACTGCATCCATTTTGATGGGATTGATTCTTTCCGGCGGTTTGGAGTGTCAAAATGAGCGACATGCCGTGGTAGGGACATTGTGTGCACAGGCTTCCTGCAAACGGAATCCAACGCTTTCTGCGTAGCTCTGAACCTTTTCTGGGTGGCTTTAAAGGAACTCATCCTTTCTTTGGGGTATGCGCCACAATAAGGGGAGCCCCAATTATGGCTTTCCTTGTGGTTTCGCTTTAAAACATGGGGGCTGGGGGGGAGGGAGGGGGGGGATGGAGTCCAAATAAGCCCTAAATAAGGCCTCTCCCCCCCCCCCCCCCCCCCACAGCCCCCATGATTTTCCAACCCTCAACATCCGCCAGGACGTGGACGCGCTGCGGCGGGAAGTGCAGCAGCTGCGAGGGGAGCTGCGTGTCTTGTAACCAGAAAAGCCCGTAACTTGCCGCAGCACGAATTCGGCCACGGCACATGGCCCTACTTTTCTTTGGGTCTGTCTTTGTTTTCGGGGGTAGCATCTTTTGGTTGGTTTTAAAGGGGAGCCAAAAGCAAACCAACCATTTTTATTTTATTTTATTTGGGGGGGGAGTCCGCGAAAAAGCACACCCCGAGCCCCTGTATCTTTTTGGATGGTTTGCACGTCACCTGTTGGCCATTTGAAGCGAGTTTTCTCCGGGTGATAGGGAAAGAACCTTGACGCTTGCTAGTGCGGCCACATCTGGCTCCAGCCGAAAAGTGGGAAGTAGTCCCTGTGCTTTCCCTTTTCAGCAACCGCAAATAATATATGGACCTTGTTTCATGTGGGCCTCTCCCCCTCCCCCAGAACAGCGAAACCCGTGCTTGGGTCCTGAATAGGAGGCCTGGCAGGGACCTTGGATGATTGAGTATTGCTCTAGTATTGCCAATACTTAGTTCTTCTGGACTTGCAAGTTCCAGCGATGGCCGGCCTTGCAGCCGCTGCCCCAGCCGCAATTTCCTTCGTGACGTCTTCCCCGTGTTGTGTGTGTGTGTGTGTTCTCCAAACCATTCAATGCGAGCACGTCTCAGGTGAAGAATACCTTCATCCATTTCGAGGAAGGAGACGCTCGGATCTGATTTTGTAAGCAATAGGTGCGCTCGAAGCCGGAATGGGGTGTTTGGGGGCCTTTTTTTTTGCCCGGTGATTGAATCATCGGCTGGTTGCCGTTGGACGTTCCAAACACATTTTAAGAGCTCAGCATCCGAGCCAAGGAAGAGCGAGGCCTCAAGCGCGCACACTCATCTCCCGCTTTGCTGACTGAGGCTGGGAGGGCGTGAGGGCTTTTTAACGGAGGTGAAGCAGTGCTGAGTTTCCCAGTCACGGGTGTATTTAGTTCGTTCGTTCGATGGCATGATCTGTGTTTTAATGTCCTGAACACACTTGTTGTCCGTTGCCTCCTTGGTTGCCTGTTGGCTTTCATTGCTTCTGGATTTGCAGGCGGTTTTGGATTCGGACCCCATCCTTTTTTGCTGGGTTCGTTCAGCGCACGCTCCAATGGTGCTTTAGTGCTTGCCAGTGCAACTGGTGGAAGCAAGTTTGTTTTCTTTCGCAGAGGCGCTGGGCAGAACGCACGAAGTGTCCCGGCATTGCATGTTCGCCTTGTCCCGAATGAATCAAGCAACGCAAGCCTCCCGCTTGCACTGTTCTTGTATCCGCGGTTGGCGAGGGATTGACCCAAAGCAAACGCACAGGCAGGTTGCCAAAGTTGTGGATCCCCGGTTCAAATAATTACGGCAAGGCCCATCAGGTCCAGAAAGCCCTGATTTTCACAACCCCGCTTTGGCAATTCATCAACTGGGTCAGAGCACGGCCCAAGCAGGCAGAGACGTCCGCATTCCACCGCGTTTCCGCGGGGGTTGGGTTCCTCTGTTTTGCGGGGGGCGCAAACCACCAGTCCAAGCCACCAATTGGAGGGAAGCTGACTAAAGCTGCAGGAGGTCTCGGGCGACGAACCCGTTTTTTTTCTTCTTCTTGTTTCGATTCGTGGACTGTGTCCAGGATTTGTCACGTGCGGCCGTGCGCCCAAGGAGGGGCTTTGGCCCCCGCTTCCCCTTTGTGGATCCTAGCCTTGCCTTTGTTTGTTCAGGTTCCCCTGGTTTGCATTGGTGGTTTGTCAAGGGTAAAAAAGGGTAAATGGAACACTACCTGACCTTCAAACCGCAAATCTGATGTTTTGCCACTAACAACGATCAACCTCAAATCCACATCCCTGTTCCTTTTTGGTTTCGCTGAAAGGTCTGGACCCCAAAAAGAGCGTCCTTTCTGGCGTGCGATCAGGGATGAGCAAGTCAGGATTCCAAGCAGTAGACAGTGTGGCCCTTTCTGTATCACGTTGGGTTTGGTCCGGTTTTCAAGGGCATCAACCAACTCAGTCCTATGCTTTGTCAAGCGGCCCCCCGGTGTTGGAAACCAAACAAAGGGGCCTATGGACGCTGTCGATCTCCGCAGGTGGAGCTGAAGGTGGGAGATGCTGAGGTGGGGGGAAAGAAGGGGGACAGGTTCGTTGGGGAGAGCTTTTCCGTGGCGTTGTAATTGTATGTTTTTGGGTTGGGGGGAGCCGCAACCAGGGATCCCGAAACCGGGCCCATGTTAAGACATCCATGAGGCCTTAACCATGAGAATGGGGTGGCGGGGTACTATTGAACCAACCTACCCCCAGGATCATCAGAGAATCTTGCTTGCGTTTCTTGCCCCTTGCATTACTTGCTGGTTTTCACCAATGATTTGCCGCCTGAGTTTCTGGACTTTATATATTATTTTTTGGGAGACACTCTCAGTGGTAAAGAGCAAGTGCAGACGATTTTTGCCAATCCAGTCAGGAAGTAATGCCTAGCAACTTTTTAGGGGATGACCCTCAATAATTGTAGCTCATTACCGCTTTCCAGGTTTGCTCTTTGGCTGCGCGGCAGCGCAGCAGCTCCGGCAGCACGGCAGCGGGTGAAACGGAGGCAACGGGAACTTGCAGGCCTCGAAATCAGGTCGATGCATTCAGCTGAAAGCGGAAAGACATCCGTTAAAGACACACGCTAGATCCTGCATGAACTTTCATTTACCCTTCCAAGCCAATCAAAAGCACACCCAAATACCAGCTGACATCCCAGTGCTTCTGATGCAGCTGTTTTCTGATGTATGCCCTACGGAATCCTAGCACTCCTGCAGATTAACATGGAGCCCAATAGCCCAGCACTGGTAGAGGAAATTTCGCTTTTGGGGCTTCTTCTCTTGGTTCCATGGTAATGTGCAGAGGGGGAAAAGAATTGTCCGACAGCCCAGCTGTTTAGTGGCACCCTGAAGTCCTTTTTGTTTGCGGGGTTTGTATTCCGAACGAAGCCAATAGCATGTTGCTTAAACAGTTTTTGTTTAATCATGCTTACATCAGGGTTTGGCTCAACCCAAACATGACTGAATATTGTGGTTTTATTGTGTGCATATACGTATCGGGAAGTATTTTAGCTTAATTGAGTTAGTTCGATGACACGCCTACACACTTCAGGAATTTGGTTAGATGAGTTGTTCGTGTGTTGCCTGAGTTGTGTTTGGATGATGTCTTCGATTTTGCCCACAGCATTCCGCTTGTTATCCTTTGTGTCCATTGCCTCCGTGCGGTTGACCATTTGATTTGGATTTGTGCTCGGTTTTGGACTCAGACTCAGACATGTTTGACCTTTGTTTTGCCTTTTGGTTCATGGGGTCATTCAGTGCACACTCCGAAGGTGCTGTGGTGCACCGTAGTTGCCAGCGCAACAGCTGGTGGAACCCGGAAGTTTTTCAAAGCAGAGGCGCTCGCAAAACAGACGAGGTGTCCCGACCAGGGAAACAGCGCAACCCCCCGCTTGCAACGCGCGTGTATCCGCAGGTGAGGGGATTAGCCTAAAGCGGTTGGATTTTGTCCTTGACACCTAAATGCACAAGGGCGTCAACGACTGGTACCGGGTCCCAGTCAGAGTTCTAGTTTGTGCACTTTCGGCAATTGATCTGGTTCAGAGAACGTCCCATTCCCGCAGAGGCCGTGTTCATTTGTTCATTCGCGTGTTACGGCGCGGGTTGGGTCTGGTTCCCCTGTTTTGCAAAGAGAGCAATTGAGGCGAGCAATGCTAAGCTTATGGTTGTTTTCGGTGACTCCCTTTCTTCCCCTGAGTGCTGTTTTGTGGGTTGCACGCTAGCAATGATCAACTTTGAATCCAGTTTTTTCTTTGTTGGTTTGGTGGGTTCCTTCCACTAAACTGGTGGCCCCAAAAGGGATTCTTTGTCTGGTTGGCTATCAATTGCAGTTCTGTAGCATTGTTTTGCATCACGATGGGTGTGGCGGGTCTAGTTTTAAATCTGAAGGAATCGACCAACCAATCCTATGCTTTGTCAAGGCGCCCCAGTGAACACCCGCCAGCTGGGTTGCTGGGTTGCTTGGGTTCAACGATCCAACCCCGGCTTGGAGTTGTTCTTCCCCCCGCCGGAATGCTCGAAGTTGTGGGGTTTCTGGCTTTGGTTCTGTCGCTTTGCGAGCACGTATCGACATTATGGGGCCCCAAATTGAGGGGCCATTGACCGCAGCACAAAGATCGTTGCAGGTCTTTTACTCCACGGACGACGAGGTGGAGGTGGAGGTGGGGGAAAAGGGCGGAGGACGTACCAGCCGGTTGGCAGGGATAAAGGAGATGGGCTTCAAAATGTTCAGCAAAGGTTTGGTTGAGACTAGACAGTCCAGTAGCTGCAGTTCAAATTTCTTTCCAGCGCCATCCATTTGTCCAAATTGACACCTAGGGTTCTGAGGGCGCAATTGCCTTGGCAATCATTTGTATTGGTCAGAATTCAGGGGTTGCTAAGGATTGGTAGGGGTGCTTCGGCCCAGATCAATCAGTTTGGTTCTCTTTGGTTTCCCCTTCTAGTTTGATGTCCACCTCCAATTGTCCGACTTGCCAGGCTTTCTATTACTTCCTAAGTTGACCGTCTGATCTAAGGAGGATCTAAGTAGTGGTTTGCGCAGTCGGACTGAGAGCTTTGCGAAGACTGCCTTGGGGGGCAGGGTGTCGGCTGTTTGAGGGCACGCTTAATTCTTCAGGGTTCCCTACACGGTTTCGGTGGCAATCATGTGAGCAGCATCGTAGAACCGATTGGTTTAGAACCCACTCGTGGTCACGCATATGGCAAAACCAAATCCGCCAACCGGGGAATCAATAAGGGGCTTGACTGAGGGAGAGGCCTTCCCAGATGCAAAGGGAAACCATGATCTTCATAAGTCCCGTCCGTGGGCAAACAGATAAATCAACCCTAACCCTAAACAATCCCTGAACCAAACCTAAACCCACCCCACAAAACCCTGAACCAAACCGAGACCCGCGCTAAACCAACCCACCCGGAGCCAACCCTACATGCAAGCACTGAAGTGTCTGTAAACTAAAACCCACCCACCCACCCTACCCTAAACCAACCCTAAACCCCACTTAACTCAGCCTGAACCACAACCAAATCCACCCTACACCCACATTTATAACAACCCTGAACAAACTCTACCCAGTCCTATAGCAACCCCAAACCCACCCTAAACAAGCCCCAAACCAACCCTAAACCCGCCCTAAACCTCCATTAAACCACCCCTAAGCCAACTGTACTTCAACGCCTAAAGCAGCCCTAAACCAACCCTAAACTACCCAAACAGCAAACACCGTAAACCAGCACGAAAACAATCCCTATACCAAGCTTAAACCCACCCAAAACCGGCCCTGAACCAACCCAAAACCCACACTAGACCAGCGATACAGCATTCTGAAACAAGCTTCTTCGCAGCGCTTGTGGATATTTTTGCAAACAGCGTTGATCAAAAAGTGAACCGGCTGATTCCAAGCCTCTTTGAAAAAGTGAACCCTTTGCTGACTTTGCTGCGTTTTGGAACGCATTTCTTCGAAACCAATGAACCTCTGCGGAGTTTGCAGCTTTTTGCGACCGTTTGCGGACTTTGCTGCGCTTTGGAAACAAGCTTGAGCGAAAAGCAAAACCCTTTGCAGGGTTTTGCAGCCTTTTGCAGCCACCTTCCGCCCTTTGAAAGCAATGGATGCGGGCGCTACTGATGCGAGAAACCCCTTTCTTGCTGACGCTTCTTGTTGGATTCCTTTGGAAAGGCTCAAGTGATTCCTCTGTGCTTCTGGCTGGTCGTCCTCAGAACAGCAGGTAAGGAAGAGCATCTGATTCCATTTTCCTGGGGCCGACAGGTGAACCCGGCAAGCTGGACATGGCCCGACGATGCAGAGCAGGCTGGTGAAGGGGGTCCAGACCTCCAATCTGTAAAGAGTTTTGAGGACCTGTTGGGTGAAACCAAATGCAAGCCACCTCTTTATGGGTCCCCTAATTTTGCCAGCTAGCCATCCTTTCGCAACAGCTCACAAGTATGATTAACTGCTTGCGCTTGCGCAGCCCATCATGCGCAAGTGACTCCGCCATAGATGGAACTATACGTTTGTGCAGAAAGTCATGGACCTGCTCACAAATTATTGGTTGGAGTTCAGTTGTTGTGGGCTTTCAGGCGGACTGGAGGCAGCTGGGGGGGTCGGACGGATCAATCTTGGGGAAGGTTTTTCCGAGGCCCTGAAGGGGTCTGACCGCTTCCCGGATCTGGCGGCTGAGGCGAATTGATGCACAAAGGATTACGGTTCTGCAGGAATCATGTTCTGCTTGAGTTTTGGTTGCACGGGTGCTTCGGAACGTTTCACTCAGCATCAGAAGGTTTCGGGAAGGGGCGTGGGTCTGGATTTCCGGCGCCGCGGAACTTCGACAATGTGTTTTTGCGAGTTGGGCAAAAAAAACTGCGCGGGATTTCAGGAATTGATGGAATTGATTCGGAACTTCGACTAACGGCGGACACTTGTTGAGTTTGCCCTACAGCCTCGAGGAACCCTTCGAAGATCGCTTTTGCGGAACCTTCCAAGAACCCGTTTCTTTTTGACAAGGTCCGCGGTAAAGCTGTCCAGACAGCCCACCCCTGGCTCGGCCAGGTATATACAGAAATATTTTACATCGGCAGCGAGTTGGACACGGCTCAGGCCCCAGCTGAAACTGGCATGTGGTAAAAACAAGTAGCCTCCTTTGGCCTGTCAGCCCGTTGTAGGCTGACACCTCGTCTTCCAACCAAGCAGCTCATTTGGGCACTTGGCGCGTTGTCTGTACGGTCCTTGACACGTGGGTCTGAGCATGCGTCACATTTCCCCAAGCGAAAAGGTGGGGGTCTGGGAGTAAATCCGCGAACTTATGATAGATCCATATTCTTGTCTGCAGGCCAGAGCTCTCATTTCGGCTCTTCTTTTTTGGTGCACCATGTTTGTTGCTGTGAGTGAACGTTTCGCGAAGAACAACGGAAGCCCATTTTGGGGTTCCGGAGCCGCGTGGCACGATTGGATTTGTCCAGGGGCGCGTCCACTTTGATCAGGTGGAGGCAGCAGGGGGGTGCGGTTTTGGGTTTGGGCCAGGTGAGGTTGGTGGTTGAGAGGTTTGAGGGGTTTGAGAGGCTGCGTTTGTAAAGCACATGTAGATGAGCGGAACACATAAAACATATAAGCATACATATATTAATCTATATATATATATATGTAAATATACAATATATATATAATATATATATATATATGTATATTCACATACACATTTACACACATGTACGTACACAGCACAAACAATACTTTGAGCGCTCCATGCCACTTCAACATCATGCGGCACATTTCTGGAACAACTTCCAAGCCAGGCTGAGCTCAAGGGCAGCGTGCCTGAAACAAACGCGGCTGATAAAGTTAGTGCCTGAAGGAATGAGACGGCTGATCTCTCAACCGACGCAGAAGTAGCATAGCTACACCATTGGTCCAGAGCTCCCCGCAGTCAAGCGCAACAGGTGGCCAACTACGTCCCACGACCAAACGAGGCGCGGGTCTGACTTCGAGCGTGCTTCTTGTTTCAGGCGCCCCCCCATCTATGTTTGTTGTTTTTCAAGGCAACCAAAGCAGTAAACCGGGCTAAACCGGGCCCACTCAGGAGGGAATTGGGCGGATTCCTGTTTGAACATGGCAATCTCGCTTTTCGAGGAGGGGTGGCATCCTAACCCGCCGGGGCGCGCACGCCTGTGCCGAGCAGCCGCAGCCCCAGACCAAGCCGGCCGTTTCTGGAGGGAAGTGGCCCTCACGACTGCGCGAGTTCCGGTCCAGGAAGGAAACAGAGAGCAAGGAACAACGAAGCCTGGCTTTCCCAGCCCAGGGACGACGGTTCATTCCACGCAAAACGTCACGAGGCGCTTGTTTGACAGTGTTCTGCTGCTCAACTCCTTGTGATTGGAGATGGCAACTTTGCTCGCACCGCGTAAATGGCCATGATCTGTAGGGAATGTCACTCAAGTGCTGGACATCCGATGTAAACGATGTTCACCAGAAGGGTCCGAAATAAAACCACTTCCCAAAAGCAAGAGTTGGAGCCTCTAGGTTTCTCAACGCGTTGTCTCACGGGCCAAGGTCGCAGCTGAGGAGGCGCTTTGGGCTGGGTGTCGCTACGCCACGCGTTGATCAGGTGCCCGAAATGTGTTTCGCGACGGGAGGTACCTTGCATGGGCCCGGAACAAGAGCCAATCCGAAGCCACAACGACCGAGACGAGGGAGCCCTTTCCCCCAAAGTGAAATGCGTGTGCCGGAAGGGACCAGCCGGTTTTGGAGAGCGCCCCAGTCTAACACTTGAAGCAGACCCTCAAATTAGCTACGCGTGCAAAGGATGTACTAACTATGCCACTTGCACATGTTCATGGGAAAGCTCGACAACTCGTTCGCTTTTGGCATGTTTCGACGGCTGGATCACTGCCAGCAAATGTGGCGAGCGTAACTGGTGCAGATTTCCACGGGCCACTTGCCACAAAACTCACGGCCACAAGCCTGGACTTTCCAAAGATTTTCAGCTGAACGCAGCTCAAAAAGCCCGCTCGGCAGGCAGCTGAAAAGCTCGCGCTGAAGGCTCCGACTTTTGCGTTCGGTTTCCTGGCCGCGGACGATGTACTTGCCCTTTTCTTCCTTTGAAGTGGAGACCATGACTGGTGAGGTCAGCAAACCTGACCATGAGTTTGTTTAAGCTGTTTGACGCACTGCTGGATGTTTGTCAGCCTTTTCTTGTCCTTGTCACTTGGCCGGGTGTCCTGACAAGTTGGTAGGTCCTTAGGGTGATGGTGGAGGGAACATTGACTGCAGCCACTCCAAGCAGACCAATGGCAGCTGCTGCCAAGGGCGGACAGGGGCTGTTCTGTGTTGCTCGCGAGGTGTTTGATGCGTTTTTTGTCCGACTGCCAACGCTATTTTCTTGGTGCTGCCGCGGCCCAGGCTGCACGCACATTGAACGTGTCGGAACGGCGAAAATGTGAGAGTAGTGTGGGTGCCAGTGTTTGTCACAATGAGACCTTGAAGCCCTCGCAGGACGGGCGCCCTTTGTCAAAGCAGTTTGCTTGCTTGATTTGTTCTTGCTGCCGCCCACGTATCAACTCTGGGAGCTGGCTGTCAACAGGGTTGTGTTTTGAAGCCTGGGGCTTTGGAAGTGGCAAGCCTTTTGTTCCACCATGAGAGGCTTTCTCGAAATGGTGGACTCTTTCGGATGGTAGAGGGACACCAAAAGGAACGTTGCTGTTTGAGGGACTAAATCCTGTTGTGAGAAACCTCCATATGCTGACGCACCTTCTCCTTGCCTGCAGGTGGCTGTGGCCTCCACACAGGATGAGGATGAGGAGGAAGAGGAGGAAGAGGAGGAAGAGGAGGAAGAGGAGGAAGAGGAGGAAGAGGAGGAAGAGGAGGAAGAGGAGGAAGAGGAGGAAGAGGAGCTTGTTAAGCATATTTGCGCTGCTTGTCTGGATAATTGA